TAGGGTCTCTCTGTAGCCCCAGCTGTCCTGGAACTCACTATGTAGACCAGGCTGGCCTTGAACTCACAGAGATCCATCTGCCTCTGCTTAAAGGCGTGCGCCACCACGTCCGGCCTTCAAGGGCCACTTTTCAAGCAGGAATACTTAGCAGTTGTATGCACAGTCCTTTTCTCCACTCACTGTGACTCCTCACAGTGGCCCAGCCAGGGCCTCCCATATTGAGGCCTCTCAATCTCCGTCCTCAGTTGACTCAGGGACACCTCTGGGGGCAGGGGGGCAGCTGAAGGCTGAGTGTGTGCTCCCCATGGACACAGGACTTCTTTCTGCCCACACCCACTTCTATCTAATGTCCACTGAGGTGCTATGAGCCAGCCATAGGGACCCTCCCTCCCATTTGCCTCCTCCAGTGACTGGCAGGCTTCCCACTGTGTCTCAGAGAGGTCTGAACAAGGCTTACCCCTTGCTTTTGGGTGATGGGTCCTACCTTGTCCCTTAAATGGCTCGTGGAGATCTGTGGAGTTAGTGGGGGGTAGGGTGTTGTTTGTACATTGATGACATCACCCTCGGGGGGAGGCCTGCAACTTCTTGGATGGGTCTAGTGGTGTACTTTAGAGCAGGTCTCAGGCTTTGGGATCTTCCCTTCTCAGCAACAGACCCAACATATGTGTCTTAGACCCCAGTGCTGGGGCATGCATGCATGCCACTGTGAGATGGGGTTCTTTCTGAAGGTGTGATGACTCTACATCCCATTACATGCCACTCTCCTCACTCCAACCCCAACCCTCCCTCCCCAACCTTCCCCAACCCTCCCCAACCCTCCCCATTTGTTCCCATCCCTTTCAATCCCTTCGAATTCCTTCATGTGATCCTGGCAGGGCCGGATGGAAAACTTCCTATTGGATCAGGAGCCCTGATTCAAGACCGGGATCCTGGTGCTCAGTAGCCACTATTCTCCCATCAACCGGTATCATGTGCTATCCGTAGCCAGCCTGGCTCTGCTGGCCATGGCCATTTATTGAGTCCTGGGCAGGCCATGCTCAGTTCCATGTATCTCAAGAGGCAGGAGAAGCTGGCCGCAAAGTCTCACACCTGTAATCCGAGCACTCAGGAGGCTGAGGCAGGAGGATTGCTGTGAGTTCAAGGCCAGCCTATCTGACATAGTGAGGTGCCGATTCCAAAACAAAATGGCTAAGTGGGATGTGGGTGCCTGTGATCCCAACCCTTGGAAAGCAAAGCAGGAGGATCAAGAGTTCAAGGCCATCCTTGACCACATAGCACATTTGAGGCGAGCCTGGGCTACATGGGACCCTGACTGAAAAAAGGGAGGTGGGGGAGGGAAAGAAGAGATCAGATAAAAGGTTAGTTGAAAAGAGAGAAAGAGAGCGATGTAGAGCGAGCACACTGGAAGAAGTCAGAGGCAGCTCCAGACTGAGCCAGTGGTGACGATGTGGCAGGAAACCCCAGGTTTCCAAGTTCTCATCCACCGCACCACAGACCCAGTTCTGAGTCCTGAGAAGACTGGGGAGCCCAGGGCAGATGTTATCTGTGTCTTTTTTATGGTCGTCTCCCAGCAGACAAGTGGAGACCGACCAGTGGAGTCAAAGGTAAATCATAACCTGAACCAAAATGTGTCTGCGCAGCTCAGTGTCTATACGCAGGACACCTGCTGGGCCCAACTCAGGGCTGATGGCTGAGCTACCCCAAGCCCAGCTGGTCCTCCCATGGAGGAGGAACGTGTGGTGGCTCCAGGGGTGATGGTAGGGTTTCAGTCCCTTCATGGGTCACACCAGCACATACTGAGGTGCTCCTCTTGTAAGCTCATGAGCAGTGGACATCATGTACTGGATCACATTTCCCTTTGTGCCTTGGTTGTTGGGAAGCTCAGAGCCAGTGACTTATGTTTTAATGTTCTCCCTGATCCTGACCTTGGCTCTGCCTCTGATCCCATTTCTGTGTGTTTCCTTTTAGATCTGTAATATGTGTCGTCATGACACAACGATGATAGATAAATCGGTAACCAAAAGTCGTTTGGGGAAATCTTTGGAACTCCTTTTCCTAAAAGGAACATCACTGGAGTCTCCAGAGCCTCTTAAAGGAGCAGAGTGACTGTGGTGCACAGGTTTTGAGGGATATGGTGTCGTGAGAGAGGACCATGGTGAGCAGTGAGGTCATCCATCCAGGGTCCTGAGATACAGGGTGATGGAGAGGCATGACCAGAAGAGACCAGGAACTCAAAGCCAAGGCCAGAGTCTGGGTGTGGACAGTGTCAGGATTACACAGTGTGGTGGCCTTTCCCCCATCCCTGTCCTGAGTTCTCAGCCACTCTAGGGAGGATCTGGACTCCTCACGTGACAGTCCGAGCCACCCACGTTCCTGCAGGCAGAAACCCCCACTGTGCAGTTAGGAGCCACCCTGTCTTTTGTCTTTCAGTTCAGGAACCCCCTGATCCTGCTGCTGCTTGGCTCAGCCGCCGTGAGTGTCCTCACCAACGAATACGAGGACGCCGTCAGCATCGCCCTGGTGAGTGACCAGCAGCCAGCTGCAGGTGGGGTGCCCAGGACTGGCCAAGTCTTGGCTGCCGATTATTTTTTTAATTATTATTGTATGTATGATGCATGTGGGCGCATGTGTGTGCATACAGAGGCCAGAGGACAGCCTCAGGTGTCACACCACTCAGGAGCTGTCCACATTGTTTTTTGAGACAGTCTCTCAGTGTTCTGGAGCTCACCAAGTAGGCTAGGCTGGCCGGCCAGTGAACCCCAAGGAACTTCCTGCCTCCCCAGAGCTGGGATCACACGTGTGTACCACTATGCCTGGCTTTTTGTGTGGGTTCTAGGGATTGAACTCGGGTCCTCAAGGTTGCAAGGTAAGGACTTCACTGACTGGCCCCCTCCCCAGCCCCGCTGCCAGCGGCTGTATAAGGGGGAACGTTTAGTGCGAGCAAAGAAAAAGGCAGAACAAGTCCACCCCCCCTCCCCTAGTATTAAAGGGGTTATAAGATCTCCCCTGTGTGGAGGGGCTTATTTGAAGGTAGGGTGCTCTAGTACGGGTTTTTGTTGAGGTAGGCCACCCCAGTATTGAGGGGTTTATTTACGGTAGGCCGTTTTCCAGGCTACACTACAAACAGCTAGCACAGGATTCCTTCCCTCTGGGATCTAAACACTGATCTTGGCCCTGACCGTGTTACAAAATGACAAAATGTTACTCCCTGTGACAGAATCCCTGACAACCATCTCCCAGGAGGATTTATTTTGGCTCTCGGAGGGAGGGTAAGAGCCCGACGGGTGGGGAAGGCATGGTTGTGGGAACAGCACAAGCATGGGGCAAGAGGCTGCTTGCTCACCTCTGGCAGACTATAAACCTCCACGCCATCCCCAGTGACCCGCTCACTCCAGTGAGGCCCCACCACCCCAAAGGTTCTGCAGACTCCCCAAACAGAGCCACAGTTGGGGACCAAGTGTTCAAACACATGAGCCTGCGGGGGCACATCACATCCAAGGTACAGGACCCTTGACTCACTACCCAGTGGTGGCGGTGAACCTTTTACATTTTCTCACTTAGCTGAAACGTACGTTAAAATGTGATCATTTTAAAGTGAAGAATCCGGTGGAATTCAGTATGTTCATGTTATGGTGCCTCTGTCTAGTCCAAAAGCATTTTCAGGGACTGAAGAGATGGCCCAGAGGTTAAGAAAACTTGCTGTTCTTCCAGAGGACCCAAGTTTGGTTCCAAATACCCACATCAGCTGGCTCACAACCACCTGTAACACCAGTTCCAGAGTATCCAACACCCTCCTCTGGCTTCTGTGGGCACTACACTCACATGTGCACATACACAGACATACACACACATATACACATAATTTAAAATAAAATCTTTAAAAAGATAAATTTTTCATTGTCCTGAATGAATGACATATACCACTAACAGACATTTCCTCCTCCCTCTTCATCTAGCCCAGCCAGCCTCTACTCTCCCAAGCTCTGTGGGTATAATCATTTCACAGATACAGAGCTGCGTACTGTAAGGTTTTCTGTGTCTGGCTTCTGCAGACACCTTTTGACGACTGTCACTCCCGCTCCATTCCATCCGTGTAAGTGACGCTTTTAAAATACAGAAACAGGCCCAGCCTGCACCGTGAAACGCTGCTTCTGTTTAAACAGCTGGGGTGGAGCCACACCTGTAAATATGGAAGGAAGAGGCCAGGAGGGGATGGGTGCAAAGAGCAGCTTATAAAGGAACGTGTCTGGGTCACGTGATGCCCTGATGAAAGTGTGCAGAAAAATCCAGAAGGGTTCTCCACTGCATGAAACCCTGGGAAGTAGAATTTTGTGTTTTTTCTGCTAATGGGTAGGGACATTTGTGTGTTCTCTAAATTTCTGTACAGAGCGCTTACTTTGCAAAAAGAAAGGAATGTGCTTTGTGAGTCTGTTTAGCTGTGGTTTGGGGGACAGAACATAATGCCTCACATATCTAGGCAGACACTTACCACTGAGGCCGGTCCCCAGCCCCTCACTGGGGGATTCTAGGCAGACACTTACCACTGACCCACACCCCAGCCCCTCACTGGGGGATTCTAGGCAGACACTTACCACTGACCCACGCCCCAGCCTCTCATTGGGGGATTCTAGGCAGGCACTCTACCTCTGAGCTATGCCCTCAACCCCTCACTGGGGATTATACGCAGGCATTTAGCTCTGAGTCACACCCCTAGTCCTTCACTGGGGGCTTTTTGGCAGACGCTCTACCACTAAGTCATGCCCCAGGCCCTCAGGATCCTGGGGGATTCTAGGCAAGTGCTCTACCACTAAGCTATGTCCCCAGCTTTTTTTTTCCTTTTTCAGACAGTGTCATTAAGTTATCCCAAGGAGGGCTTGAGCTTGTGGTCTTTGCCTCAGGCTCCCCAGCAGCGAGGGTTACAGGGCTGCAGCACCTGGCCTGGTGCGGTGTGCTTTCAGAGGCCCCTGTTCTCAGCCTTCCCCTTCACCAGGCACCGGTGCTCACACCCTTCCCCCTTCCTCCCCCCTCACCTCTCCCTGGTCCTGTTTTCCAGGCTGTACTCATCGTGGTCACTGTCGGCTTCATCCAGGTGTGTGTGTCCTGAGGTCCCATCTGGGTGGGGTGACTGGGGCATGACGGGAGTCCTTTGGGGTTCCCACCTTTGAACAATATATCTGGTGTGTTTCTGCCAGGAGTACAGGTCAGAGAAGTCTCTGGAAGAGCTGACCAAGTTGGTGCCTCCTGAATGCAACTGGTAAGTCAGAGCTACCCTGGACTGAAGAGCCAGTGAGTGGCTGATGAGTTTTGCAGACGCTTGGCAAACATTCAGTCCTTTGTAATGTGACTGGGGAGAAAACCTGGTCTCTGCCCTGGCCGTGGCTTGCTGTGTGGCTTTGGGCAGCCTGCTCTACCTCTCTGAGACTTAGCTCTAACTCAGGGTAAGTGACCTGGGATATAAATGGAGCTGAGCTTCCTCTCAGGAGAGAGGGCTCAAGGGCGCCCTATGTTCTCAAAGAAGTTGGGCCAGGACTCAACAGGCCCAGTGGCAAAGCACAGGTGTGGATGGGTGTCCTTGGATGGGACCTGTGGAGGGTGTCCTCTGAATGCCCTGTGGCCCTGGGCAGGTGACAACCTCTTCCTCACCCAGACATCATCCCTTCACCATTTATTATCCCCAGTCCTATCAATGATTTTTTGGGTTTTAAAAAAATATATTTATTATTTTTATTTTTTTATGTGTATGAGTGTATTGCCTGTATGTATGTGAGTGCACCTGTGTCGTGCAATGCCTCAGAGGTCAGAAGAGGGCTTTGGATTCACGTGGAACTGGAGTTAAGGACGGTTTATAGCCGTCATGTGGGTGCTGGGAATCGAACCTGGGTCCTCTGCAAGAGCAGTCAGTGCTCTTAACTGCTGAGCCATCTCTCCAGCCCCTGGTCTTTTGTGTTTTGAGACAGGGTCTCCCTCTAGCCCCAGCTGGAACTGGAGTTATGGGCAGTTGTTAGCAACCATGTGGGTACTGGGAATTGAACCTAGGTCCTCTGCAAGAGCAGCCAATGGTCTTAACTGCTGAGCCATGTCTCCAGTCCTGAGATACAAGAGTTTTAAAAAATAGGGACTAGAGAGATGGCTCAGCAGTTAAGAACACTTGGCTGTTCTTCCAGAGACCAAGGTTTGATTCCCAGCACCCACATGGTGGTTAACAACCATCTATAACTCCAGTTCCAGGGGATCTGACACCCTCTTCTGGTCTCTTTGGGCAGTGCACACATGTGATGCACTTACATGCAGGCAGGACACTTAGAAACATAAAGGTAATAAAGAATATATACCAAAAAAAAAAAAACACACTAAAAAGAGTTTAAAAAATAATGAAACTATTAAAAACTTAAGGATTTGCCTATAATTGAAAGAACAAGAGGCTAGAGAGATGGTTTAGCTATTAGGAGCACTGGCTGCTCTTGCAGAGGACCCAGGTTCGATTCCCGGTACCCATATAGCGGCTAACATCTATCAGTAGCTCCAGTTCCAGGGGATTGGACACTGTCTTCTGACCTCTGTGGGCGTTGTACGATATACACTTACCTACGTGCAGGCAGTATACTCATACCATAAAAATAATAAGTAAAAGCAAGAACAAGTTGGTGCCTGTTCCAGTCTGTCAAAGTGCACGTAACTGGGCGTCAGTCTGCCTTCTCTCTCTGCACAGCCTGAGGGATGGCAAGCTCCGGCACATACTCGCACGAGACCTGGTTCCTGGAGACATCGTGTCCCTCTCCATTGGAGACCGGATCCCAGCAGACATCCGACTCACTGAGGTGAGCATCCTATGACCGTCATCCACACACACCAGCTCATCCCGAGTGAGCAAGCCAGTGACTGCACGTGGCTTAGTCCCACCTGAGAACAGCTGTCCCGGGGCCCCTCAGCTTCAGTTTCCAGTTTGTTACCCACAATCCATGGTCCAAAAATATTAGTAATTGTCCTTGTGAAAGATCGAGAGAGAACTCATATAACTTGTATCATAATCTAGTCTTAGAGTTGGACATCCTCTAGGGTTGGGAGCGATGGCTGAAGGGACCATCGTATATCAGCCCAGCACATCTTGGTTGTGTATGTATGTTATGTATATTTATGTCTATGCTGATATACATGTGTGCACGTGAGTGTGGGGGCCAACCTATGACGTGATTTTTCAGATGCCATCCACCTTATTTGTTGAGACAGGGTCTCCCCTGTAACCCCAGCTGGCCTGGCACTCACTATGTAGACCAGGCTGGCCTCAATCTCACAGAGATCTGCCTGCCTCTGCCTCCCTAGTAGAGCCGGGCTAAAGGCGTGCACCACCACCTTATTTTCTGAGACAGGGTCTCTCACTGTCCTGGAACTTGCCAAGTAGGCTGGACTGGCCAGTGAGCCCTGAGGACTCACCTGTCTCTACTGCCACAATGCTGAGTTTATATGTGCATGCCACCACACCAGTTCCCCCATCCATGGGTTCTGGGACTCGAATTCAGATCTTCCTGCTTGCAAGGCAAGCATTTTACTGACTGATCTATCTCCCCAGTGTTGGTTATGTGGTTTATAGAGCAGACCAGAATGGCAGGCTCACCCAGGGCAGAGCTGGGAGAGGAGACCCGCACTGAGAGGGATCCAGAGAGGCAAACCATCAGGGGCAGCAGAAGTCTCACAGCAGACTGGTTTAGTTTGGGGATCTCAGCAGGGGTCAGCCCCCGTCTTACCTTGTGGGGCTCAGAGTCAGCCCCTGGTGGAACCGTGCCTGGGGCTGTCTGAGATGATCCTATATTCTGGAGAAAGTGTTGTTGAGTGACAGGGTCGGCTGTGTGATGAATCCTTCCAAGAACAGGTGAGCCCAGCTTGGGGCTCTCTCAGTGAGGAGGGTGGAGGCCAGGTAAGTGAGGGATTTATTACTGGTGCTCTCAGAATTGCGGGTTCCACAGGAGGGGTGATGCGGGTGGAGGTCCAGGCCTGGGACCTACATTTGTGACACTGAGTCAAGGTCAAGTGTGGGCACCCTGACACTTTCAGATCTGCAGCAGGAAGGCAGATCCTGGGTGAGAAGGGGCTCTGGGACTCGCTGCATTGGCACAAAGAAGAGCAGCGCCAAGAGACTGGCTTTGTGTCCTGGGGCTGCACACAGGAAGGCAGATCCTGGGTGAGAAGGGGCTCTGGGACTCGCTGCATTGGCACAGTATTTGGCCTCGGGCTCTGTGTCTGAGATCAGTGCCTATGCAGACGCAGGAAGTTGTCAAACAGCCCCAGCCGCCAGGGAGGCTGGGAGAGCCAGTCTATTTTCTGTGTTCTGATGGGGAGGGGTTGCTATCTCCAGGAAGGGGGCAGGGCCTGGGTGCTGTGCAGCTCATCAGGACCCTGTTGCTGCAAGGGCAGGAGGAGGCAAAGAAGAGCAGCGCCAAGAGACTGGCTTTGTGTCCTGGGGCTGCACACGAGCCTGGTTTTGAGTTCTAATTCTAAGCTATGTGGCTTTGAGCATTTTACTTGACCTCTCTGTGCCTCAGTTTCCCCGTATGTAAGACAGGAGATAATAGCTCTGGAGTCGTTACGAGGATTAAATAACTCCATAGGTACAGAACTTTGGGGACTCTGGGTCATAAGATGGGCGTGCATGGGGAGCCAGGAAATCTTGGGCTTTTAGTCCTGGCCCCGTGTCTCCTATTGTGTGACTTAGGGAGGAATTCACCTTCCTGAGTTAATTTCCTTCTATTTAACCTTCTGTCCTTTGGATGAGCACTCAGTTTCCTCCTGCCTGAAAGGGGCTGGCATTTAGCCTCACTGCCCAGGGTTACTGGGAGGACCACACAAGCCACAGTGCATAGTGTGCCTGGCCCAAGATTTCACGGGCGATTTAAGTTTTTGCCACTCTGGCTCAGCCATGGTTTGTTGGTCCCTAAGTAACTCCCTGATGCTGTGGCTGCCTCTCACCCTCAAGTTCGCTTCAGTCACAGGCTGCACATTGACACAGCACAAAGGTGATACCGTCATGCCCCACACGTCCCTCAATGGCACTTTGTAGCTCTCTGGGATAATCAATAGCTTCGTTTATCCATAGCAGAAAATGTCCATCAGTGATGAGGCTCTGAGCCTCATAGTGGCCCACTGAACGTGCACTTCACCACCAGTGGGTGCTGGGAGCAGCAGGCTCTGGCTTTTGAAGCTGGAGAAGGAGAGCCACCATGGCCCACGTATGGCTGTGGGGTCTCAGAGTGCTGTCTTCTGTTGATGAGACAAAACGAAGGCTCTTGATCACAGGTCGACCTGGCTCTGTTCATTCTAAAGTGAAAAGAATTGTACGGAGCTGTGAGAACTCTAAGCCATGCTTATCAGGGGGTCAGAGTGCTGCTGGAGACCAGGCCCACTGTGCTGGGGGGAACAGGAGCCCCCATGGGCCTGGGGAGGAAGGGAGCCTCCATGGACCCCATCCTCTGGCACCACCCCTGGGGTGGCCATGCTGGGGCTGTGTGGGTTGTGTCCCCAGCTCCAAGACTCACATCTCTCCTTAACTCCTAACCTCATCCCCCAAGATTATGTCCCCCAGTCCCAACAGCCCCACACAGCCAACAGCTCCTCCTCATTCCAGACCCTGAACTGAAGGGAAGAGACCAGAGTTTCCTCGTCTGTGGTCACACACTGTGTAGCTGCCTTTCAGGTCATGTGGACAGTGATCACCCTGGCAGACTCAGACCCCTAGTGATGCCCCAGCCTCGTGTGTTTGTACTCTCTGTGATGTTGGCCCCTCCCCTGCTGAGCGAGGTCTCAGCTCACATCTGCCTGCCTCGCTGGAGGGCTTCGTTTCTTGTCCTGTGTTCCATCCTGCACCACTGTCTTCAGAGGCCCCTCCTCCATAGGGTACGGGCCTCAGCAGGGCAAGATCTTTCCGTCTGCTGCTTCCTAGTACACAGGGATCACCTGCTCATCATAGAGATGGGGGGAGTGGGGGACAGGTGTGCAGACAGCACATCCCATTCCAGGGGACCACACCACCTCTCCACCCTGCATCTGTTTGGCCCCACGTTCCTTCTGTCCTTCCCACCTCCCTGCCTGACCTCAGGGCACTCACCCGGCTCCTCTCTCCATTTCCTCATTGAAAAGAGACTTGTCAGTAAGCCTTTCAGAATTAAAAAAAAGGTGCTGGCAGAGAGGGTCCCATCCACCTACTCATCCTTTACAAATACCTGACTGTGGCTGACTTGTGACTGTTACACCTGAGTCTCCAGCAAAGCGTTGATAAGGGAAAGCCAGGCTCCTGCTGACACGTGTCGCATCTCCTTAGGCCCCTCCCCTACAGCTTCTTGCCTTGTTTTGTTGACCATGACATTTTTTTAAAGATTTATTACTGGTTTTTTATTTATTATTTTTATGTGTATGAGTGTATTGCTTGCATGTATGTGCATGCATCCGTGTTGTGCAATGCCGCAGAGGTCAGAAGAAGACTTTGGATTCCCCTGGGACTAGAGTTAAGGATGGTTTGCAGCTGCCATGTGGGTGCTGGGAATCGAACCCGGGTCCTCTGCAAGAGCAGTCAGTGCTCTTAACCACTGAACCATCTCTCCAGCCCCAGATTTATTTTATTTTACGTGTATGAGTGTTTTGACTGTATATATATCAGTGCACCCATGATATGCACTTGGAGGCCAGGGGAGGGGGCATCAAATCTCCTGGAACCAGAGTTAAGGACAGTTATTAGCTGCCATGTGGGTGCTGGGAACCAAACCCAGATCCTCTACAAGAGCAAGAGCAATAAGCACTTTTAATGATGAGCCATCCCCAGCCCTGTCCATGACAGTTTGGAAGACACAGTTTTGTGTCCCGAAGACATGGCCTGTCCCAGGCACCATCTGGACAGCTCTGGCCAGAGTCCTCTTGAGGACTCAGCACAGGCCTGTGGCTGAGATTTTCAGATTCAGACTCCAGAACCAGAGAGCCCCTCTCATCTGTTTGCTGCTACCTAGCTGTGGAAACACGAATGTTGCTTGAGCAGTCTGTGCCTCAGTTTCCCTCTGTATGAAACAGAAGAAAATTGCACCTTCGTGGATGCGAGAGGGACACTAAGGTATGCCTAGGAAAAGCTCAGCTCAGGCCTGGCACACAGTAGGTTCTTTGCAAACCTTAGCACCTCTCCTCCTCATTGGCTGTGTTTCTGTGTCCTCACACGTGTTACCTTGCATGTGTGTCTGTGTCTGTATGTATGTATGTATGTGCACATGTGTTTGTGTCTGTATGCGTAGGTGTGTCTGTGTATTATGTGTATATATGTGTGCTTGTGTGTATGTATGTATGTATTTATATGCATATGTCTGTGTGTCTACATGTGGGGGGGAGGTGGTTCTCTCCTTCTACCAAGTGGGTCCCAGGGGTCAAACTCAGGTCATCATACTTGGCTACAAGCACCTGTTCCCACAGACCCATCTCGTAGGCCCTGGTCCTACCCTCTTAACATCCCACAGTGGGGATTAAATCTTAGCACACAGGCACCTGGGGACACTCACACTGTCCAGAGCAGAGTCCTCAGTTACTGTCCGCATAGCTCTCATGGGAAGATCCACAGTGGACGGTGCTGGGACAGAGATGGGCATGGGGGCTTGGAGAGGCAGCGGTGTGTTCCAAGGCACAACTGAGTTCATGTTTTCCTGTGTCGTCGATGTTTCAAATAGCATCAAAGAAGGCATGAGATTTGCATGTTTTCCTGGAGAGGCCCTGAGCTCTGAGCTTTTCTGATTCTATGATTCTGACCCTGGCTTCCTGCAGCCAGCACCTTCCCATCTAGCTCATCTGTTAGGGCTAGATGCCATTCCAAGCCATGCAGACCCTCTGGAGAGCAAGAGGGATCACAGGTCTCCCCTTTGCCCCCAGGTCACAGACCTCCTCGTGGATGAATCCAGTTTCACAGGAGAAGCTGAGCCTTGTGGCAAGACGGACAGCCCGCTGACGGGTGGTACAGATCTCAGCACCCTGAGCAACGTGGTCTTCATGGGGACTCTGGTGCAGTGTGGGAAGGGCCAGGTGAGTCAGGCCCAGTGCGGGAAGGGCTCAAAGCTGTAGGCCCAATGTTTACGGACCTCTCTCTCTTGAACACAGGGGGTCGTGATTGGAACTGGGGAGCGGTCTCAGTTTGGAGAAGTGTTCAAGATGATGCAGGCTGAAGAGGTGAGAGAGGCAGAGCTGTGGGTGGGTGTAGCCAGCTCCAAGTGAGATTGTTCTAAGCCAGAGAGAGAGCCCAGCCCACCTCCAGGAGGGAGGGAGACAGGAGAGATGAGAATAGACTTTTCAAGTGTGGGTTTTTGTTTGTTGTGGGTTGGTGGTTGGTTGGTTTTTTGAGACAAGGTCTCCCTGTAGCCCCAGCTCCCTGGAACTCACTATGTAGACCAGGCTGGCCTCCATCTCACAGAGTTGCTTCTGCCTCCCAAGTGCTGGGGTTAAAGGTGTGTGCCACCATACCAGTTAAGTTTTAAGTGTTTTCAACTTAGCATATGGGCTTGCAAGATGGCTCAGTGGGTAACTGCTAAGCCTGAGACCTGAGTTCAATCCCACATGGTAGAAGGAGAGAACCAACTCCCAAAAGCTGTCCTCTGACCTCCACACACCAATCAATCAACCAACCAATCAGTCAATCAATCAGTCAGTCAGTCAATCAATCAGTCAGCCAATCAATCAATCAGTCAATCAGTCAATCAGTCAATCAATCAGTCAATCAGTCAGTCAATCAGTCCATGTAATTTGAAATTTAACTTATCGTCAATCAATCAGTCAGCCAATCAATCAATCAGTCAATCAGTCAATCAGTCAGTCAATCAGTCAATGTAATTTGAAATTTAACTTATGTTTATCAAGTATAACTTTCAGATCTGAAGGGCAGAGGTGGTGAGCTCACGTGCATGGCACCTGTGCGCCGTGTGTGCTTGTCACACTTGGAGTGATGGAGAGGGCCTGTGGGATTGTAACAAACATATCTCCCCCTCACAGACACCTAAAACTCCACTGCAGAAAAGCATGGACAAGCTGGGCAAGCAGCTGACAGTGTTTTCATTTGGCATCATAGGTGAGCACACATTTCCTCCTGGGTTCTGGAACCCTTCCCGGGGCAGGCAGTGGAGTGGATCAGACTAGGGAAGGCACGCACTGAGATCTCCAGGTTCTTGAGTCCTAGAATGAAGAACTGGACAGAGACACATAGGTAGTAAAAGGAGACCATTTGTAAAGGAACAGAAAGTCATGCCTAAGAACGGGATTGGGTGGGAGAGCCCTGCTGAGTGTCATGACTCTTCACGGGTCACTAATGCAGCACTGCCAGGACTGTGAGATCTCACCCTGTTTCCTTACCCATGCCCTGGTGTGTGGAGGAGTCCCGTCTCTCTGCCACTGGCTCCTTTGTATGTTAGTCTTCTCCACACCCTGGTCTCCTGCCACACATGCCCATCTCTTGTGAGTCTCACCGCACACCTGTGTGAACACTGGGGTTGGGATCTGAGTTTCCAGCCTGGATCCAGCAAGAGGTCTGTGTTGGCATGGGCTGGGTGTCCTAATGGGCATCCCCCGCTGCAGTGGCCTCACACAGTAAGCAATTGGTTCTACTGCAAAAACAGCCCAAGGGTGTGCTGCTGCCAGTGGCTTCCTCCACTGCCAACTCAGGCCCAGGCCCCCGCTGTGTTGTTGCTCTTCCTTCCTCTTTCAATCCTTAGAGGCCGTAATTATACCCAACCAGCTGAGGGAGGAGAGGAGGAGATCATGACAGAGGGGAGTGGGGGAAGATCTTGGGGAATGCAACAGAAGTGAAGACATCAGTTTTGCCTATTGCAAAAAGAAATAGAATCTTTTATTTGTTCTTTGACAAGGTCATACATGTAAAAAATGCATCTTAATCATATGTGCCCCAACTCCTCCTCCTACTTCCCCTAGGAATCCTTAACTCTCCCACCCACTCCCTCCAGGCACCCCAACACTCACCCTCGCCACCTTCATGTTTAATTCTTTGTAACCTACTGAGTCCCATCAGTGCTGCCTTTGGGATGCTGACTGATCTTGCTGACTTGATCTTGTGCAGGTCTTGTGCCGGTGACCACGGCTGTGTTGAGTTCATGAGCACTACGGCCATGTCATGTCTACAAGTCAGCATCTCATAACTCTGCTCCCCATCCTCCCACTCCTACGTTCTTTCCACGTCTTCCTCAGTGTCCCCTCATCCTTGAGGTAGGATGACATAGATGTCCCATTTAGTGCTGAGCACTCAGTGGTCACTAGTTCTCAGCACTTTGACCAGTTACAGTCTCACTTTTACCCATATTATTGGCCAGGATGGAGTCTTAGGACCCCTAACTGCCAAGGAAGCTGGGAAGTGCAGTTCTGCTCTGCACCCAGCCATATTTCTACGCTTCTAAATAGGTTGGTTCTTCTGAGGCCTTAAACACACTAAATGGCATCAACATTGATCCTGCCAACCTGAGTTGAGGTCCCTGGCCTCAGCGCCCCCTGGCTTCCCTGGTCTCCTGTCTCTTTCCTGTTCTTTCCAGATCCAGCCTTAACTTATCAGCCTTCAGGACAATACATTGCCAGGCTCATAGTAGAGGGTAGAGGCTCAATAAACAGCTCTTAAGCTAGATAGAGGAGCAAACCAGCAAAGCACACTGTGCACAGCAGATGCAGTGCTGGGAGAAGCTCTTGGGAGAAGCAGCTGCTCCTCCCAGCCCGGGTTTCAGTGTGCTTGATCACCTGGATGTGGCAACTCAGCGAGGCTTCCATGAAATGCCGTATCCACACTAGGTTCTGAGGCACCAAGACAAGCCAAGCAGAGTTTCTGCCTTTACAAGGACTGCAGTCTGATAAGGACGACAGAATAAATACCAGTGTGAAGTCAGCATTTGCTTGGGAGAGCTCAGGAGGCTCCAGGGAGTGGGTTATATTAAACGGGCGGGGGGGGTTGTCTTGCAGGATGAGTAGGAGTTTGCTAAGCAAGAAAAGAAGGAACTGGGAAACCCAGGCAGAGGGAATCGCACATACAAGGGCATGCGGGTACCCCACACTGTTTCACAAGCAGTAGGAGGTCATGAAGTTAGCAAAGTGGGGAAGATGGGGTGCTGAATGCCTGGTTCCATTACTTTGAGCTGGGCAGCTCTGGGCAGGGTGCATCATCTCTCTGAGCTGTGCTGTGAATATTGAAGGAGTTAACACATACAAAGTACCTCACGTGCTGCCTGACCTGATGGAGGTGGCTGTCACCACAGTGTCCACACACCAGACCCTGGCCCTGATGCAGCTGCAACCACATTGTTCCACCTAATTCTCATGATATGCATGTAAGATGGACACTGTTAGCCATTTGCCAGATGAGGAAACAGGCTCAGAAAGGTTAGTAGCATCACACAGCCAATTTGTGAGAAGGAGCTGCTTTGTTCTCCTGGGAGGTAGGGCAGTTGGGGAGGCTATGGAATTGTGAGTGGCTGCCAGGAGGGTCCCCTCTGTGTGCCCCTGGGTACTTGAGTTCTGAGATGCTGAGCACAGCCAAACCTGTTCCTGATGAACCTGGGATGTGCCAAAGAGCCACAGGACAGTACCCTGAGCTGGTGACAGGCTCACTAGCTGCTGTCTGCTGCCAACCCTTCTACCTCCTCCCAATGCCTGGCCTCCACCCCTGAGCTGGTGACAGGCTCACTAGCTGCTGTCTGCTGCCAACCCTTCTACTCCCAATGCCTGGCCTCCATGGAGCATCCAAGCTCCTTGCAGTGGAGCAGTTCCCTCCCTCTTCCTCCTCTGTGTCCTGTGTTCTCTTGAAGCAAGGCCAGAAATTGGGTTTTCCAGAACCTGCCCATCCCCACACAGCTAGCAGAGCTCCATGCTAGGAGACCACACTTGGGCTCAGTGGCAAAAGGAACTGGGATGGACTAGTGATGTCTGCTGTGGGCACAGATACAGAGGGGACTCTGTACAGCTACTTATGTACCAATTTCATGGCTGAATGTTGCTCAAAACAGAATGTGAGGAAGACCTGGCTACCCACATGCCTCTTTACATTCTAGTTTAGGGTGGAAACTGTGGCTCCCAGGCCAGAGTTGGTCCCCTGCTTGTTTCTGTGCATCCAGCAGGCAGAGACTATTTAAATTTAAAAGTGTTTGGGGGTGGTGGTGGAGAGATGGCTCAGCAGTGAGAACACTGGCTGTCCTTGCAGAAGACCCAGGTTCAAATCCCAGCAACCACATGGCAGCTAACAGCTGTCCATAACTCCAGTTCCAGGGGATCCGACAGCCTCTTCTGTCCTCTACGGGCATTGCACAACACGGATGCACTTACCTACATGCAGGCAATACACGCATACACATAAAATAAAAATAATAAATGTTTTAAAATATTTTTTTAAATGTTTGCGTGTATACACTCATGTATGTGCACATGTGTGCAGTGCCCACAGAGGCCAGAAGGGGGTGTCAGATCTGCTGGAGCTGGAGTTACAGTTTTGAGCTACCAAACATAGGTGCTGAACTCTAGCCCTCTGATAGAGCAGTAAGTGCTCTTAACTATTGAACCATCTCTCCAGCCTTCTATTTTTTTTTTTGCATTTTTAATTGGTTTTTTAAAAATCTCTATTTGCCCACACACATGCACTCAAGCTCAAGCCAGAGCAGGTTGCCAGGCGTCTCCCTCTATCACCCGCAGCCAGAGCCAGAACCTCCTTCCAGGCTGCAAGAGCACGTGAAGCTCCTAGTGGACCTGAGGCTCCCTGTCCTGAGCCCTGTTTCTGACAGAGCTCCTCTCTACTCCATTTTACCTCAGTCCATCTGGGTTCCAGTGAAGATGGAGAACTGAGTTTATGACGAATCATGTCTTGTGAGTTCACACACATACAAACATACACACATGCACATACTAGCATAGACCATCACCAGTTTCTGGTGCCCTGCAGAGCAAAATTGAGGTCTTTTTAGAGACTCCTCTGGGCACTGGCCACCCACCCTCATTTCCTCACAGCTTCTGATGTAGAGTTCAAGAACGGGGGGGAGGGTATGGCCATGAGCCCATTTTACAGGCAGGGTAACTGAGACTACACTTGGCTGCCCAGGAGCTTTTGCCACTGCCAGAACATCTTATGAACTTCCGTGGGTCCCGGTGTGGCTCAGGCCACTTCTGTTCCCACGTCTCCAGGACCCAGCACAATGCTTGGTGTTTAGTAAACATTTGATGAATGATTGGCAAAGGAAAAGTGGAAAATTGAATTAGACGTAGGAGATGGTAAAATAACTTAAGAAGTAGCAGCCCAGGTGGCTGAGGACGTGGCTCTGTGGCAGAGAGCTTGTGAGGCCCAGGTTCCATCTCAATATTGCAAAAAAGAGAGAAACAGGGCCTTACCACCCACTGCCTAATGAAAGCTGGTGGTTGGTATCTGTACCTTAAGCTTAGAGAGAACCTTTCCTGAAAAAGTGAAATCAGATGGGGAGATATGGGAGGAGCTGGAGGGGAGGGAGTGGACGTGAATTTGATCAAAATACCTCATATGCATGTAAGAAAGTCTCAATAAATTTTTTTAAAAGTTAAAAATAGTTGATGAACCCAGGGTAGGAAGCCTTCTAGCAGAAATTCCTTCCAAGGAACTGAAAGTTTTACATGTGGTATTTAAATATGTTTTTTATTAATGATTTCATCTTTCTTCTTAAGATTAATTGAAATTTACTGTAGTTACATTTTTTCCATAAATAAACCTGTCTACACACAAAAAAACTTGTTTCTCGATGAGGTCTTCCTTTACCTCCCATTAAAAATCCTGAGTTCAAAAACAAAGTAACATCAGGACTTTTTCAGTAATTTAAGTGTTTTGCTTAAACAGAATAAGTGGGTGGTTGTGGGTTCTTTTTTATTTGTTTTTGTTTCTTTGAGACAGGGTCTCATTCTGCCCAGGCTGACCTCCATCTCACAACTATCCTCCTGCCTTCTGAGTGCTGGCGTAGCAAGTACGAGCCACCATGCCCGTGTGCCCTTTGAACTGCTTTTTTCCCCCATGCTGACTAATCTAGGGCTTTGCCATCCTGGGCAGCACTCTACTTTGGAGCTCTGTGGCTGCAGGATCCTGCACTCCCTAATCATGTCCCAGCACTTGAGTTCCCAGAGGGTCTGTCTGGAAGTGGCTGGAAGCATGGCACAGTGCTGGGGTCACAGGCACCCAGGCCAACGCTGTCCCATCTCTTACAGGTCTCCTCATGTTGCTGGGCTGGGTGCAAGGCAAGCCACTCCTCAGCATGTTCACCATCGGGGTCAGGTATGGCGTCTCGGCTGCCCGAGCTCCTTCCCCCTGGGCAGAGCAGGTGGGAGACTGTGGGCAGGAAGGGTTGGGGGAAGACACTTCTTAACCCCCCACCAGGCAGGCCTCCGATGACACATGCGATGTGAGCACTGCACAGAATGTGAAAACAGATCATGTGCAGTCCCTTTCCATCCCTCTCTGCTATGGCTTAGGTCTGTCTGACTGAGAGCCTGGGGCACGCAGCAGCCTGCCTAGAAAAAATCCTGCCTTGGACAGCGGCGGGGAGGGACCTTACGTGTTAGTCAGTTTCTCATTGCTGTGTTGGAATGCCTGAGGAAACCAGGTACAGGAGGAATGGTCTACTTTGGCTCATGACTTCAGAGGGTTCTGTCTGGGGTCAGCTGACTCCTGTGGTAAGCAGGACGTCATGGCAGAGGGTGTGGCAGAGCAGAGCTGCTCACCTCCTGGAGGCAGGAAGCAGGGAGACCATGGGTACTCCTGGTTCTCTCCTTTCCCTCTTTTATCCAGCCATGGGAAGGCACCACCCATTCTCAGGATGGGTCTTTCCTGTGAGTTAACCCTCTCTGAAAATGCCTGCACACACATGCCCAGAGGCACACCTAACTAGTTTTCTGGCTACTTCTCCGCCCACTCATGCTAACAAACTGATCCTTCTTATGGGCTGGGTTGTAGCTCAGTGGTAGAGCATTTTCCTGGCATAGGAGGAAGATGCTCTACCTCACCACCACAAATGATAGACATGCTTGTGCATCTTAATTACCCGTGCCAGTTCCTAAATAAGGTGAGTCACACATCTTGGGTTAGGACCTGGATGAATATGTTTTTCATGTGGCATGCTGGCCTCAAACTTACTATATAGCTGAGAATGGCCTTGAACCTCTGATCGTTCTTCCTCTGCCCTCTGAGTGCTGGAACTATAAGCATATGCCTGCTTTGTACACTGCTGGGACTTGAACCCAGGGCTTTGTGCATGCTAGACAAGCACTCTGCCAAACACTGAGTCACATTATCAGTCCTGGGCACATCTTTAGAGAAAACATAATTGGGCCATAGTACTGGGCGGCGTGTTAGTGGGGGTGGTGGGAACCAGAAGTCCTGAGGCCAAGCTGTCTGAGCCAGGGGGCAGGGAGGGTGTAGATGGTGGAGGTGGAAGGTGTTGCAGCACAGCATGGGCAAGAGGCTGCAGGGAGAGCTGTTCTAGGGCCTACAAGAAACAGAAGGGGTGGGACCTGGGTCTCCTGGTGACTGAGCAAAGGAGCAGAAATGGAATGTGTGGTCATAGTTGACCCTTGCCCAGTTCCAAGGGGTCATACCGGGCTCTGTTTTACAAATGGGGAAACTGAGACACCGGGTCCCACAATTGCCTGTGGCTGCAGGATCCAGAAGTAGAGGGTAGACTTGGAACCACTACGGTCTGATCCGAAGCTACCCACCTCGTGACCATGCTGCCATCGGGTCAGGATTGGACCCTTCAGCTGCCAAGGTCCTGTTCCTACCCTTAGCAGCTGGTAACAATTGGCCCTGAGTTTGCCCACAAATATTGACTGATTATGAACTCTATTACATTATTGGAGTGCTGACTGAACCATAGGCCTCAGTCCTTGCAGAGTTTACAGGTTGGTGGAGAAAGTAAACAGGAACAATTTAAGTGTGCAAAAACAGTTACAACTTAACAACCTTGTGCTTGATGTGCTGAGGAAATGCCTGGAAGAGACTGAAACAGAGGTGGGAAGGGACGTGTGGGTCAAAAAGGCGGCCAGGGACACTCTATGTGAAGGTGAAGGCACAGACACAGGAGCCAGTTAAGGGGGCTGCAGAAGGGCATGCCAGGCAGGTGCAAAGACCCTGGGGTGGGCCAGGGCATGGTGGTTAAGTGCCACCAGGAGACCATGACACCTGACACTGTGTTTTACTGGCTCCCCCGAGCACAGCTGAGGCTGGGATTAGAATCTTCCCTCAGACAGGCCCCAGCAAGAGTAGAACCAGGGGTACAGGTTGCAACACCCTAAAAATGCCCTGTGGGGAAGCGCTCAGAGGCAGAAAGCAGGAGGAGGGGAACTGAGCTTTCAGGGGCTCTTAAAGAGAGCAGGCCCCAAAAAGCCAAAATGCTATATGCACGCACGCACGCGCGCGCCAAAGAAGGATGCATTCCTGGCCAATGGACCTCAGTGGTGCAGGGTTCGCCTGGCATATGCAAGCCCTGGGTCTCATCCCCAGAGCCACACAAAAAAATTATTATTGTTCTCTCCCCATCTTACCAAGTTCTGTGAGCAAAAAAGAGCATATATATTTATTTTTGAAATTTTTTAAATGTATTTTTGTTATTTTTATGTATGTGCCTCTGTGTGTGAATGCCAGGTGTGTGCAGGTGCCTGTGGAGCCCAGAAGAGCATGTCAGATCCCCTGGAGCTGGAGTCACAGACATTTATGAGCTGCCTGACATGGGTGCTGGGAGCCAAACTCAGGTCCTCTGCAGGAGCAGCAAGTGCTCTTAACCGCTGAGCCATCTCTCCAGCCCTTATTTATTTTTATTTTGTGTGTATGAATATTGTGCTGGACAGCTTTAGTGTCAACTTGACACACCTGGGTTGAGGGAGCCTCCATTGGGGAATTGCCTCTATTGGACTGGCCTGTGGCCATGTCTGAAGGGCATCTTCTTGATGAGTGATGTGGGAGGGCCCAGCCCACTGTGGGTGGTGCCACCCTGGGCAGGTGGGCCTGTGTTGTATAAGAAAGCAGGCTGAGCAGGGGCCAGGGGAGCAAGCCAGTAAGGGGCATTCCTCCGTGGCCTGTGCTCCAGCTCCTGCCTCCAGGTTCCTGCCCTGAGTTCCTACCTTGGGCTCCCTGATGAACTGCAACCTGGCAGTTGTAGGCTGAATAAACCCTTTCCTCCCCAAGTTGGTAGTGGTCAGAGTGTTTTGTCACAGCAATGAAGAAACAAACCAGGACAAATATTTTGCCTGCATGTATGTAAGTGCACCCATGTGTGCAATGCCTATGGAGGCCATGAGAGATTGTCAGATCCCCTCAAACTGGAGTTATGGATGGTTGTTAGCCACCATGTGGGTGCTGGGAATTGAACCAGGTCCTTTGCAAGAGCAGCCAGTACTTTTAACCCCTGAGCATCTCTCCAGCCCCAAGACATATATATATATATATATATATATTGAAGATAAGGAACACATTATGTTTTGTGTCTCCCCTCCACCCCATTGGTCATTTCTGATCCTTTATCTAACATTCTCCCTCAATTTGTCCCCCCAGTTGATCTGTGAACTTGCACTCGAGGAAGAATTTGCCCTTTCATTTCTGATGCTGGATAGGTGAAACCTTCATGCTTTGTGACAGATTAGTCACCCAAAACCACCAACTCAGACAGTAGAAATGGCAGAAAGGCCAGCAAGGAGATTTTCCAGAGTGAATGAAAAGGGAGAATTGTTCTTTTAAAAACTTTATCTTGGATTCCTGGTGCTCAAAGTGTCATTCAAGATGACTCAAGGAACTCACTTTTCCTGGTCTCCCCTGATCTTTATTAGTTTGCGGATTAAATTTTTATGGCTATGAACATATCCAGGTGTGTGCGCCCTTCCCCTGACATATGGGGGTGTCCCCTCATAATCTTCTGCAAATGTTTGCTTAGCTGGTTGGGCCAGCCTAGGCCGTAAAACCAAGGAGGCTGGCTTGCTGTCACCATGGAAACTCTCCTGGCTCCTTGGCCAAATTCAGTAATCTTGCTTTATATAACTTGTTCTGAATGGCACATTGTCTCTGGGTGAAAGGTCATTATCCATAGCCTATCTTTCTGTTCTGTTGTGTTTTGTTTTGGAGACAAGGTCTAACTATGTAGCCCACCCTGGCCTCAAACTCATGGTGATCCTCTTGCCTCGGCCTCCTGAATGTCGGGACTGCCTGTGTGCATCACCACACCTGGCTATACGCTACCTTCCTTAGATTGTAGGAGGCTTGCTTATCATTCCCCATTTTAGTTCCTCTGAAGTCAGACCGGTTTTTGTTTTGGAAACAGGGTCTCACTGTAGCCCAGGCTAGCCTTGAACTCTGAAGTCTTCCTGACTCAGCCTCCCGTGTGTGTTTAGAAAGCCCTGGGCTACTTGGGCATCAGTGCTCTTCACTTAAAAAAGATCGTTGTTGTTTGTTTGGTTTTGCTTTTTTGGGTTTTTTTTTTTTTTTTTTTTTTGAGACAGGGTCTCCCTGTAGGCTCCAGCTGGCCTGGAATTCACTATGTAGACCAGGCTGCCTTGAACTCACAGAGATCTGCCCGCCTCTGCCTACCGAGTGCTGGGATTAAAGGCATGTGCCACCTTGCCTGGCATGGCTTAAAAAAAAATTTTTTTTAAACATTTTTTAAGCTGGGCATAGTGGTGCAGAGGCAAGCAGATCTCTGTGAGTTCAAGGCCAGCCTGGTCTACATAGTGACTTCCAGGCCAGCTGGAGCCTACAGGGAGACCCTGTCTCAAAAACACAACAACAAAAATTTTTTATTGTGTATGTGCGTCGGGGGAGGGGGTTAACCTGTGGAGATCAGAGGACAACTTGTGGGAGTCAGTTCTCTTCCACCATGGGGTTCTGGGAATCAAACTCAGGTTGTCAGACTTGGTGGCAAGCTCCTGTATCCACTGAGCCCTCTTAATTAGCCCCTTTGCTTGCTCAGCAGGACACCACATTCAATGTGGCCTCTACTATTCTGTGCAGGGTCAGTGAGCCTCCTCCCCAGGTGTCTGACCATTCACCTGCCCAGGGCAACTGCTCACTCTGTGCCAGGCCAGCCTGTCATGGAATTCACACCTTCACATCTGTCTGTCCAGTGCGTTGACTCAGCCTCTGTGGAGGTTCTGGTGGAGAGGTACCTGGTCTCCAGTTTCTCTTGGGAGGCATAGACAGTCTGATAGTACTCTTGTGAGTGACTCTGACTTTGAGCAGGCCTGGCTTGGGATCACATGCTTAGCTTGGTTGGGGCTGGCCCCCTCCCTTGTCTCCTACCTGGGTTCTCAAAAAACAGAGCCCACTCTATCACTTCCACACTCCAAAGTTGGTTCCCGTTCAGGTGGTGAAAGAACTTGAGATTTGACTGTATCCCACATCCCTAACCCCACTAAAGGCTGCAGGTGGAGGGTTTGATGGGAAGGTGACTGGCCTCTCTCCAGGCTCCCAGCTTGGAGTTCACAGGGTACAGAAGGAACTGGAGGGGAGATACAAAGGAGAGCTGCCACCCCAACCAGACCTGCTGCGGATAACCAAGGTGCTCAGTGGTGGCTGCTTCACCTCAGGGGAGTTTCTAAACCGTTAACCAATGAAAAGTGAAATTCAAGGGACCCAGGGAAAAGCTGAAACATCAAAACCTGTTCCTTCCACTCATCCCCCTGACTCAGGAATTCCCTGGAATTCTTTCTTGCCAAAACACTTTCTAATAAAAGAGAATGATTTGAAAAGAAAGGCTGCAGATACCAGTTTGCACTAAGGTGTGATTGTCTGACAGGAGAGGTTGGTTCCAAGGAGGGTGTTTTACTTATCAAGGAAGTGCTCAGGGCACTCCTTGAAGGAGGTAAGTGGACCATGGGATTAAAAGCAGAACAGAATGGATTACAGGGAACAAAGACACTTTTGCTAAAAGCATCTTCCAGCTGGAGAGGCTGCTTAATGGTTAAGAGTACTGGCTGCTCTTGCAGAGAATCCAGGTTCAGTTCCCAGCACCCACCTGGCGGCTAACAACCATCTGTAACTCCAGTTCCAGGGAATCTGATGCCATCTTCTGGCCTCCACAAGCATAGCACAACACGGATGCAGTTATATACATTCAGGCAAAACCCCCACCCACAGCTCTTCCCCATGGAGGACATGAACGAGTGCAGCAACACAGGAATTCACAGAGGGCTCCAAGAGCAGCTCGAGCAAACAACTTGAGCTGGGACACAAGAAAGATCTGACTGAATATTTGTCTCGACTTGGGGAAGTTGTAGACTGTACAATTAAAAGAGATCCAGGCACTGGGCGATCAAGAGGATTTGGATTTGTGCTTTTCAAAGATGCTGTTAGTATTGATAAGGTTTTGGAACTGAAGGAACACAAATTGGGTGGCAAATTGATAGACCCTAAAAGGGCCAAAGCCTTAAAAGGGAAAGAACCGCTAAAGTTTTTGTGGGTGATTGAGCCCAGATACTTCAGAACAAATTACAGAATAGTCTGGAGCGTTCGGAGAGGATTCTGTTTCATCACATACACAGATGAAGAGCCAGTGACTAAGTTGCTAGAAAGCAGGTATCAACAGGTTCTGGGAAGTGTGAAATCAAAGTTGCACAACCCAAAGAAGTTTATAAACAGCAACAGAAAGCTGGTGGACGAGGTGGTGCTGGGGTCGTAGACAAGGTCAGGGCCAGAACCAGAACCAAGGATTTAATAACTTATGATCAAGGATATGGAAATTATAATAGTGGCTATGGTGGGTACGATTGTACTGGGTATAACTGGGGGAGATACAGACAGGGACAGGCAGACTACAGCGGTCAACAGAGCGCTTACAGCAAAGCATCCAGAGGGGGTGCAGTCACCAAATAATGACCAGCTATACTGAAGGAAGACTCTGGAAGAAAGCAGGAGGTGTAAAGAAACCATCTTACAGGATGACGTTGAAGATCGCTTGATCTTCTGTTTGATCTAAGATGATTATTTTGTAAAAGACTTTCTAGTCTTTGGAAGGCACAGTGGTGTCTAACTGCCAATTAGTTTGTTTTTACTTTGTCTTTTGCTGTGTTATGACTCAAGGTAGATTTGTATTTATACAATTTTCATTTGTATGATTTCATGTTAAACCTCAAATGCTTCCTTATGTGATTGTTAAAAAATAATAAGGGCTGGAGAGATGGCTCAGCATGTTAAGAATACTGGCTGTTCTTGCAGAAGACCCAAGTTCAAATCCCACCATCCACATGGCAACTAACTGTCTAACTCCAGTTCCAGGGGATCCGACAGCCTCTTCTGTCCTCCGTGGGCATTGCACGACATGGGTGCACTTACCTATATGCAGGCAGTACATGCATACACATAAAAAAAAATATTTTTAAAAATGTAAAAATACACTAAAGAAAATTTTTAAGCATCAATGCAGTTGAGGTTCACGCTGCCCTTACATGTGTATTAAGTGTGGTCTGACTTTTCCACCTAGCCTGGCAGTGGCGGCCATCCCAGAAGGGTTGCCCATCGTTGTCATGGTGACACTGGTCCTGGGGGTGCTTCGGATGGCGAAGAAGCGGGTCATCGTGAAGAAGCTTCCCATTGTGGAGACTCTTGGTGAGAGACACTCTGTGAAGACCGGGATGGGTGAGGTTTGGGGGTCAGGAGTAGGTTCACCCTCAGACTGTTATATCGACCCCAGGGTTGGCGGTGACCACTTCCCTTTCTACATTCACGTCCTAGGCTGCTGTAATGTCATCTGCTCTGATAAGACAGGGACTCTGACAGCCAACGAGATGACAGTGACCCAGCTCGTCACGTCTGATGGGTTCCACGCAGAGGTGAGTCTCCTGAGGTCAAGGTGCACCCTGCCAGCCCCTCTCCTGCCCAGAGAAAGCACACAGAGTCTTCTAGAACAGGGAGAAAGGAAATAAATACACTGGAGAGGGCTGGAGAGATGGCTCAACAGTTAAGAGCGCTGGCTGCTCTTACAGAGGACCTGGATTTAGCTCCCAGCACTCACATGACAGCTAACAACCATCTTGACTCCAGTTTCAGGGGATCTGAGGCCCTCTTCTGGCCTCCACAGGCACTACATGTATGTGTTCCACTTACATACATGCAGTCAAAATGCGGGTACACATAAAATTAAAAGATAAATGTTTAAACTAAATACACTGGAAGTCTTATCTAAGTATCAGGAAGTATTGTGACCACTTTAAGATGGCCTCTTCTGTCATTTAATATTTATTTTCTGCAGTGCCAGAGTGTCATAGATGCTAAACAGACTCTATACAGAGCCACACACCTGGCCCCTCATTAAACACCCCCCCCCACACACACACCTTTTTTGTAATGTAGGAATTGAACCTGGGGCCTGGTGCATGCTAGGTGGACACTCTACCACTAAGCTATATCCCCATCCCTCTCTTTACATTTATTTTGAGACAAGTTCTTACTCTTTTAGCCCAGGCTGGCCTTGAACTTGATATCCTCCTACCTCAACCTCTTAAGGATCTGGGAATACAGGTCTGTGCTGCCAGGCCCTGCTTATTTGGGGGTGGGGGGTTGAGACAAGGTCTCACTCTATAGCCTGAACTGGTCTGCAATACACTATGTAGCTCAGGCTAGCCTTGAACTCATGGTAATCCTCCTATCCCAGCCTCCCAAATGCTAGGATTTCAGGCATGAGGCACCACACCCCACCTCATTACAAAATTTAAAGGTTAGAGAAGGCCCATTACCACCTACCACAAACTGAGTCTCTGTGTTTCTCTGCCTTTTACAAGGCATAGTTGTACTCTCCCTTAATTGGAAAGTATCTGAATATTTTTTCCACAGAACTTTCTAGAGCAATGGATCAGCAACCAAGGTTCTACTGGCTGTGGCCTGCTCTTGTCTATAAAGTTTTCTCTTTTTTTCACATTTTAAATATTTATTTCATTTTCATGTATGTGTATGTGTGTCAATGCGTGGGTATGTGCATGTGTGTGCAGTGCCCTGGGAGGCCAGAAGAGGGTGTTGGAGTCCCCTGGAGGTGGAGTTATAAGTGGTTGTGAGCTGTCCCCCGTATGGGTGCTGGGAATCAAAGTCAGGTCCTCTGCAAGAACAGTTTGTGCTCTTAACTGCTGAACCATCTCTCCAGCCCCTCAGAGTTTTCTTGGCACACTGCCATGCCCATCTGTGACACCTCGTGGCTGGCTGCTTCCTAGCCCCACGGGCATCCACGTTGCCTTTTTTTTTTTTTTTTTTTAATGCGTATGAGTATACTGCCTGCATGTATGTAAGTGCACCTGTGTCAGGCAGTGCTCACAGAGGTCAGAAGAAGGTGTCAGATCCCCTGGAACTGGAGTTACAGATGGTTGTTAGCTGTCATGTGGGTGCTGGGAATCGAACCCAGGTCCTCTGGAAGAACAGCAAGTGTCCTTAACCACTGAGCCAACTCTCCAGCCTCATCCACACTGTCTTAACAATGGTAAAGGTGCATGGGCTGCAGAAGCTAAATGTTTCCTCCTTGATTGGGAGCTCAGCCTCTCCCCAGCACCCTGGGTGGCCCTCGTGCGGTCCTTGCATGGCCTGCAGCCTCCCCATGGAGTATGTACAGCATTCTGCCAAAGTGTGGCCTCTTCTGTCAGGCAGTGAGTGGTTCCAGGCAGCAGACAGACCTGCTGTGACGTCCTCCTATGTAGGCTCAAGGCTTTGGGGTGGACCAGGAGAGGGACACATGCCATCCAGGGGAGCAGGGTTGACCCTCGACTACGCACTCTCCTTCTGCCTTGCCTTGCAGGTCAGTGGAGTCGGGTACAATGACCAAGGGACTGTGTGTCTCCTCCCGTCCAGGGAGGTAATCAAGGGATTCAACAATATCTCCGTAGGGAAGCTGGTGGAGGTGAGTGTTGGGGCACCATGGGGGACAGTGTGGGACTTGCGTTGAAACAAGGGGCCATGAAGGGAGATAACTGAGTGGACCCCACGGGTGAGGCTGTCACAGATAGAGACATGGACCCCAGCCATATGAGAAGGCAGGCGGGGCAGGGGCAGTGGAGCCTCTGCCTGCAGGCGGCCCTGGGTGGGGACCCTTGTGCTGGGATTATTTGCATTTGTCACTGGCAGGCTTGGTCCTCCCCCAAGCTACCTGTCTTCCATGCATGGCAGGCACCATCCAGGAAGTCAGAGAACAACACCCCCTCCCAGCAGCCCCTCTTCCACAGGGCTCTGCCATGCTGAAGCCCCTCCACCCACCTGCATTAGTTTGCTTTTTATTTCTGTGATAAAACACTGACCTAAACCAACTTGGGGAGGAAAGGGTTTATTGCATCTTATGCTTCCAAGGCCCAGTCCATCCCTGAGGAAGGTCAGGCAGGAGCTGGAGCACAGGTCATGAAGGAATGCTGATAACTGACTCGCGCCCCTGGCCTGCTTTCTTATACAACCCAGGACCACCTGCCCAGGGGTGGCACCACCCACAGTGGGCTGGGCCCTCCCACATCACTCAACAATCCAGAAAATACCCCACAGACATGGCCGCAGGTCAGTCCGACAGAGGAAATTCCTCAGTTGAGGCTCCCTCTTCCCAGGTGACTCTAGTCCATGTCAAGTTGATGAAAACTAGGCAGCACCCAGCTTTCCAGGTTCAGAAACAAGCCCGGGGAGAGTCACGGGAGGCCTGAACTCAGCTCCCAGGGTGGCAGGGAAATCCTGTTTATTCTGAACCGAGGTCTAAGTTGTGCACTGCAGAACTCCCCCTTGAAGCCTGTAGTTTAGTGCTGTCAGTGCCTCCCTACTGTGCGGAGCCGGTCTCAGCTCACTGCCCGCCCCAGAGCACCAGGTAGTCACCACAAAAGGAAACCCACTGGCAGCTACTCCCTCCCTGCAACCCCCAACCCCAATCCAGCTGTCTTCCTTGCCCCCCAGGGTTCCCTTACAGCAGCTTCAGGAACTAGCACTCCTCTTAAGCAAGGAATGGTACCCGTGGCCCAACCTGGTGGTTCAGGTCACCATCCCAGCTACTCGGGAGACGGAGACAGGAGGATTGCAAGTTCGAGGCCTGCCTGGGCAACTTAGCAAGACTGTCTCAAAATTAAAAATACTGACTGCAGATGTTCCAACTCTCCCGCCCTTAGGCAGGCTGCGTGGCCAACAACGCTGTCATCCGGAAGAGCACAGTGATGGGACAGCCCACAGAGGGGGCCCTGATTGCCCTGGCCATGAAGGTAGGAAGCTGGTGGTCGGCACAGGAAGTCCCACCTCCTGGCTGTGCCCATGACTTGAAGCAGTCTGCTGCAGTGGGGAAGGTGGGCTCAGGGGAATCCTGCCAGTGGCTAGCCCCTCACTCAAGGTCCCAAAAGTGCCCTCTGAAGCCGAGCCCAGTGGCCTAAGCTTGTCATCCTAAACGCTCAGGAAGCTGAGGCAGGAAGATTGCCAGTTCAAGGCCTGCCGTACATAGTGTAGCTGCCAGTGCAGGGAACCGGAGGAGAGTTAGCTGACTTCATGAGTCCCCATCAAGGCAGGTGAAGCACTTCCCCAGTGAGACCACCAGATCCTGTTATTTTTCTTCCAACTCAGACAAGCTGCCAGGACAGAGCCCTAGTAAAGTAGGGCGGTGACCCACTCAGTAGCTTCTCATGACCTGGCCCAACCGTGCAGGGGGCAGCACCTGGCACTGAGGCTTCGCTGGGTTTCAGCCAACTTTCCAGACCTCCCCTTCCTGGTCAGATGCACGGCTGAGGAGTTATCCCGGACACCCCAAGGCTCTGCCTTCCCTACAGTTTGTCACAATAAAGAACCACAAACCACGTGGTTCAATGTGACAGCCTTGTAGAACTGCGCCTTTGAGAGCAGAGTGGGGATGGGGGGCGAATTGAGGGGCCCCTCCCTTGGCCCTGGCTCCTCCTTCATTTGTTTGCCTGGGTTTTGCTTTATTTTTAAAAATATTTTATCATTTTTATTTTATGTGTAAAAGTACATTGCTGCATGTATGTAAGTACACCTATGTCATGTGGTGCCCAAGGAGGTCAGAAAAGGGCGTAGGATCCCCTGGAACTGGAGTTCCAGATGGTTGTTAGCCATGTGGGTGCTGGGAATCAAACCCGTGTCCTCTACAAGGGCAGTCAGTGCTCTTAACTGCTGAGCCATCTCTCCAGCTTGCTTTATTTTGTTTTAGAGACAGGTTCTCACTATGTAGCCCAGGCTGGCCTGGAATTTGTAATATTCCTGCCTCAGCCAAGGAGTAGACGTGCCAGCCTTTTACTTGCTTGCTGGAGATTGGAACTCAGAGCTTCCTGCTTGCACAGCAGGCTCTCTTATCCGCTGAGCTATCTCATCAGGTTTAAACAGATTTTCCTAATCTACCTACCTTTTACATTACTTTAAATTTTTCATTATTTGGAACTGGAGAGATGGCTCTGGGGTTAAGAACACTAGCTGCTCTTGCAGAGGACCTGGGTTTGGTACCTGGCACCCACATGGTGGCTAACAACTGTCCTAAACTCCAGTTTCAGGTGACCTGATGCTCTCTTCTAGACTCTGGGTATTGTATGCATGTGGTGCACCTACATACATATAGGCAAAACGGTCATACACAGTTGGTTGCCCTCTGGGTGCTGAGAGTTGAACCCGGGTCCTTTGCAAGAGCAGCCACTGCTCTTAATCACTGAGCCATTTCTCCAGCCCCTAAATTGATTTTTTATTATTTAATTTTCAGTACCGTGATGGACCCCAGGAATCCTGTATCACTGAGCCACATCCCCAGCCCTTTTTCTTTATTGAGATATGGTCTTGCTCTGTAGCCCAGGCTGGCCTTGAACTCACAATCCTCCTGCCTCAGCCTCTGAAGAACTAAGATCAGAGGCATGTGCCACCATGCCCAGCCATCCATGACATCTGAATACCTCAGTGTTTCATGAGCCTTTCCTGGGAAACATGAATAAACGTCGGTTCATCCCAGACAGATGAGGCAGGGATACAGACCAGAGACGTGATTCCACCAAGACCGATTCGGCGAATGAATGAGTTTATTGAGTTTGCTTGCAGGAGTGTGGGTGACGGAGCAGGTGTATTACTGTGACGCCCCACCCCATCCCCGTAGTCGGCATCCCTTCAGTTCTCCTTCCACCTCTGTACTCTCTAGCATCTCCAGGAGACCTCTGCAGCTGGGGGAAGGGGAGGCAGGGAGGGAGGGTCTGAGGAAATGAGGAGCTCTCTACCCCCTTTTCCTCCCCCAGGCCATTCCCAGTTCCTGGGGCCAGTAGGATATGTAGTTAGGACTGGTGTATTGTTGGGGAAACTGAGTTTTGACTGGTAGGTGAGTAGTTGACTCAGAAGTCCTCAAATACCTAGTACAGGTAACAACTCAGGCAGGCCCCAGGCTGCAGGTGGCAGGGCCACCTGGCTGCAGTTCTTTCTGGGAAATTGCTGTGCCTGTCTGGTCTTTGATCCCAAGTGAGTTTCAAAGAAAGTACAGGCAAAGACTGGGTTCTGGGACTAGAGAAATGAACCTCCCCCATCCCCCGGGTTTGTAAACAAACAGCACTCTGTGAGCTAATGTTTGGATTTCTCATACTTTGAATGATAACTTGCCCAGACAGAGCTTAGCATTCAGCCTGGTTTCAGACGAGTCCCTAAAAAACGTCCCATCTTACCCCCTAGATGGACTTAAGTGGCATCAAAGATTCGTATGTGCGGAAAAAGGAGATTCCCTTCAGCTCGGAGCAGAAGTGGATGGCAGTAAGGTGCAGCTCGAAGTGCGAGGTAAGTTCAGCTTTTTTCAGACCGGGTCTCGTTATGTAACCTAGGCTAGCCTGGAATTCACCATTATCTTGCCTCGGCCTCTGAGGTCTGGGATGACAGGAGTGTACCACCTAGTCTAAGCCTCTCCTCCCTACCCTACACCAAGATGAGGTGATACACAGGCATCTGAGAGGAGAGGACAGCCCAGAGCCCTCCGGGAGCTTCCAAGCAGGAATATGGGTGATAGCCTTGACCCTGAACCATAGTGCTCACAGTGCTGTCCCCAGCCAAGCCACATCGTGTCCCTTGGGAATTAGATAGCAATGTGGGGTCTCAGGTGCCTCTGACCCCAGGTGTGAGTCCAGGAGCCTGTGTGTCCTGGGGTTCTGGTGGAGGCTCAAGTGTGAGCCAGAGGTCCCCAACAGCAGTGACCACTGGGCTGCTGCTGTCCCTGCTGACAGGCTGGCCCCATGCATCCCCCGCTGCAGGTCCTCTCTCTGTACCCCGCTCTCAGCTCTCCATGTCTCTCTCTTGCTCCCTCACTGAAGGTCGTGATGGGGACAAAACTCCTTACTACCGGCGGCACTGTGAATAATGTGAAGACAGGTTCTTATGCACACGTGTGTACCCTGACACGGCCCCTGCTCACCTCAGACGAGGCTGGAGGAGCAAACGCAGTGGGTGGCGCTTACAGCTGCTTAGTTCATTTTTTTCTTCAATTTACCATTTTTAGATTTTTCTGTGATTTTGTAGACTATCTTCAGTTTTAAAAATACCACTTCAAACCATTTTAGGAGCCAGGGATGTGGCTCAGTTGGTAGGTGGTGTTTGCCTAGGGTGCGTGAAGTTCGATCCTCAGCACCACATAAACCAGCCATGACACTACACATCTGTCATCCCCCAGATTGGGAGGTGGAAGGTCAGGAATTCAAGGTCATCCTCGGCCACCTAGTGAGTCTGAGGCCAGCCTGGGCTACTTGACACCTTATCTCAAGAAAAGAGAGAGACTCGAGCTAGGGACACTGCTCAATGTTAGGGTTCGAGAATCGAGAATAATTTCCACAGATACCCAAAAAGATTATACAAAAAGTTTATTCAAGAATTTAACGTGAAAAAGACAACAACCAAATGGTGTCTAGCCGGGCACAGACTTCACGAGCTAAAGATGGAGTCTGGCCCTGAACAATAACAGGCAGGAGCTTTTATTGGGGCACTCCACAGAAACCTGTGTGCGCGCCAAGCATCTTTTAAAATAATTGGACGTCCCCATATTCTGAGTACGGGGAAAGTCTTGATTGGTGGGGGCTGTCTTCAGGGCATTGGAACGTGCTGACTAGTATCTTTTAGAGTCAGAAGTTTTTGTTCATACCTTATAAGGCTTTTACATGTACAATATGCCTGAGCTTGTCTGGGCTTCTCTAAAGAAGCTAGCCAAAATGGAGTCAGAGCATTCTGGCTCTTCAGAATGACTCTGTGATCAGGATGCAAGACAAAGTCTAATGATATGTAGTAAGCACATTGGCAAACCTGGTCTTTGTTTGTTGTGATTTTCTGTTGATGTTTCAAGACAGTCTCATGTAGCTCAGGCTGGCCCTGAGATTCACTATGTAGCCAAGGATGACCTTGGCCTTCTGATTTACCTTCCTCTATCTCCTGAGTGCTGAGATTGCAGGCATGTGTTACCATGCCATTTATGTTTTACTGTGGAGCAAACTTGGGGCTTCATGAATGCTAGGCAAGCACTGTACCACTGGTCTGCATCCCCAGCCCAAATCTGGTTTTTATTAGTGGTGTGAGGTCAGCCCTCATTGAGGATGATTGCAAGAGGACAGATGGAAGATAGCTCAGGAGGCAACGGTGTTTGCCTAGGGTGCGTGAAGTTCGATCCTCAGCACCACATAAACCAGCCATGACACTACACATCTGTCATCCCCCAGATTGGGAGGTGGAAGGTCAGGAATTCAAGGTCATCCTCGGCCACCTAGTGAGTCTGAGGCCAGCCTGGGCTACTTGACACCTTATCTCAAGAAAAGAGAGAGACTCGAGCTAGGGACACTGCTCAATGTTAGGGTTCGAGAATCGAGAATAATTTCCACAGATACCCAAAAAGATTATACAAAAAGTTTATTCAAGAATTTAACGTGAAAAAGACAACAACCAAATGGTGTCTAGCCGGGCACAGACTTCACGAGCTAAAGATGGAGTCTGGCCCTGAACAATAACAGGCAGGAGCTTTTATTGGGGCACTCCACAGAAACCTGTGTGCGCGCCAAGCATCTTTTAAAATAATTGGACGTCCCCATATTCTGAGTACGGGGAAAGTCTTGATTGGTGGGGGCTGTCTTCAGGGCATTGGAACGTGCTGACTAGTATCTTTTAGAGTCAGAAGTTTTTGTTCATACCTTATAAGGCTTTTACATGTACAATATGCTGAGCTTGTCTGGACTTGTCCGAAGAAGCTAGACAAAATGGAGTCAGAGCATTCTGGCTCTTCACTTAGCAGTTAAGAACACTGGCTGCCCTTGCAGAGGACCCAGGTTCAAATCCCAGCACCCCCATGGCAGCTAACAACCATCCATAACTCCAGTTCCAAAGACTCTGATGCCCTCTTCTGACCTCCGTGGGTACTGTACAACACAGGTGCACTACATGCAGGCAAAGCCATAATATATTTTAAAAAGAGAATTTGTGAGGCCCTGGATTTGATCCTGAGCACCACAAAAACATGTATGTATAATGTCATGTCACCACTCCAACGTACATGTATATCATATGTGCAGACGTCCCCTTCCAACTTCTCCAGGAGTCCCACCTTTGCTCTCTTCTTTCTGGAATCTGTCCTAGCTGACCCTGCAGATACCTCAACCCTCCAACTCAGGCTCTGGCTGCTTTCCAGCAATGTCCAGGCCCTGACCCTGCAGAAATGAATGTGGCAACTTGGAGTGCTCTAAAGGGGTTATGGGTGTGTGCGCGTGTGTCTTTAAATCTGCCCTACATGCTACAATGGTAATATGTTCTGCTGAAAAATATGGAGTTTAAATGGAAACACTAATTAAGGCCCTCTTCCCTCCTGACCCACCACCTACCTAGACACATTCATCTCTGCAGGGTCAGTGCTTGGGATAGAGTGTTCTGGATTCTAATTCTGCCCTGCCACACTGGTCCTGTGTTTAGTGCTCACCTTTCCAATCCTGTGACACTTCTCCATAGGGTTCTGCTGTCGCTGTTGTGTTGTTTCTGGTATGGGAGATGAAACCTGGGGCCTCGTGTATCCAGGCGAGCTCCCCACTCTGTGTTGCATGCCCAGGTCTTTTAAAATACTTTCTTGAGACAGGGTCTTGCTAAGATGCCCAGGCTAGCCTTGATCCTGCAATCCTTCTGCCTCAGCTTCCAGAGTAGCTGGGACGACAGACCTGTACCTGGCTCTGAGATGCCTTCCTGGGCTAGTTGACAGACACTGGTTCTCGGCAGCACCACCACCACCCACCATGAGTCAGGCAGGAACTGTGCCTGAGAGGCAGTGGGAATCACGCTGGCCACCACTGCCCGTAGAGCTTTGCAGACCCGGGGAATGTGACAGCTACTCACCCGAGCACACTCTCACAAACAGGGACCACAGGGTATTTTTAGTGATCAGTCACACACCTAAAGGTAGAATGTTGGCTGGTATGCTCCAATCTGTGACACATGGAGGATGCATGTGTCGTGTGTCATGTCTGTGACATGAACAAGGGGACTTGATGTAAACTGGGATGCTGTGGATCAGAAATGAACCTTGTTCTTTTCACAGGCTTTGTAGTATTCCATTGTCTGGATCCCATAATTTACCTGGTGATCAGCAGTGATCTAGTATAAGTCCTTCCACTGACGATAACCTCATATGCATCTCTGTACCCTGTGCCGGACAAGGCACAAGTGACAGCAGTTTTTTCCTTTTGTCTTCCTCAAGGATCAAGAAGACATCTACTTCATGAAGGGGGCCTTTGAGGAAGTGATCCATCACTGTACCATGTATAACAATGGAGGCATTCCCCTGCCTCTGACACCCCAACACAAGTCCTACTGCCTGCAAGAGGAAAAGAAGATGGGGTCACTTGGTCTGCGGGGTCAGTGTCACCCCTCGGGGGGCTTTAAGTTTGTGTGTGGCATCTCTGGGATACATGCGTACGGGGTCCTCAGTGAGTACGGGGTCCTCAGTGAATGGCTACCAGCCAGAATGGTGGTGCAGACTGACTGACCGCCATGGCCAACGTGAAACTTTACAGTCAGGAGAAAGAACCCTATCATGCCCCAAACACCCATTGGCACCTGCTAATCTAGTGTGGCTTGTGGAAGCGGGGAAGGCCTGTCCCAGACGACCACCATCCTCCATCTCCCATACTGTCCTGGCCATGGTGGATAGAGCTGGGGTTCTAGACTGTGAATGGCGCAGCCTTGCCTTGTGTCACTTAAGCCGTTTCCTGCAGCCCCTCTCCCTCATCAGGGGCTGCTCCCCAGGACCACAGTAGTGTTGGCTGGCAACTGAAGATGGCCCCCCAGCTGTCAGTAACCTGTGCTTGTGTCTCCCACAGTGCTGGCCCTGGCATCTGGGCCGGAGCTGGGGAAGCTGACTTTCCTGGGTCTCGTGGGAATCATCGACCCCCCCAGGGCTGGTGTGAGGGAAGCCGTGGAGGCTCTCTCCGCATCTGGTGTGTCAGTGAAGATGGTGACAGGAGATGCTTTGGAGACAGCCCTGGCTATAGGTAATGGGGGCGGGGGGCTCCCCTGCTCAGCTGGTTCTTGGTCCTCAGCAGCTCTGGTCAGGAGCCTCATGCCCAGCCAGAAGGGCTTAGAACAGACTGGTCTGTACAGATTGGTGCTTCCAGCCCCACCTTCTGACATGTTTGTGTCCTAAAGGGGAAAAGTCCTGTAAACTGAGGACCTACTATGTGCTGGGGTTTTGCATCCAAGATGCACAGGCAGCATCCTGAACGATGTGGGTGTCCTTGACAAATCACTGAACCACTCTGACCCTCGGTCTCTTCACCAGCAGAGGGTAGCCAGCCCCCCCATTACTGTTAAGAGCTGTCATGTGTTGGCTTTTCCCTATTCAGCCCAGTGCTGTGAGGAGGTCACTGACTTGAAAATCAGCCACAGTGCCAGGTCCGGTGTGACCTCTGTGCAGCAGTATGGCCTGGAGGAGTCCCTCTTGCTCAGGTGGGAGGAGAATAAGGCCTCTCAGATCTGCTGAGAGCAGGCAGTGTGTAGGTAGTCAGTAAACAGAGGGACTGTGCTTTCACCCTCCACGCTGATGTCAGGTGTGGGGAATTCTGGGTGGGACAGGACCACAGCTCAGTCCTCGGAGCTGTCCCTCAGCCCTGATTCTCCCAAAGGAAGAACCATCGGCCTGTGTGATGAGAAGCTGAGAGCCATGTCCGGGGTGGAGGTGGAGGGCACAGAGCAGAGTGCACTGGCGGCCCGCGTGAGGCAGGTGGGCTCTCCTGGAGTCAAATGGAACACAGATGGGGGGGGTGTCCTCCAGTCCCACGTCCACTGACAGACCCTTCAATTCCCTGGACCAGGTGTCTGTATTCTTCAGGACCAGCCCAAAGCACAAGGTCAAAATCATAAAGGTAAGCTGGGCAGCAAAGCACGGTCAGGCAGAGTCACAGGCCCCCCCCGGGGGGGGGGGACTGTCCAAGGTGAGCAGGATGCTGGGCCAGCCTAAGCCATGGTTTCTCTAGACCCAAGACAGCTGCATGCATCCCGTGTGTACACACACCCCACCAGCCAGAGTGCTATCACATTGCCTTGTTTAGCTGCAGAAGATGCTGGGAAATGTATCTGGTTGGGTGGGTACTTCCCAGCTAAAACCAGGGGTCCTGCTTAGTGGGGGGCAGAAGCTGGGACCCTGGACATAGGAGCGGGAATTATACGGTATAAAGGGAAAAATACTCAAACAGAAGCGGTCCTCACGGTCTTCTCCCTAAGCACCTGCCTCAGTTTCCTCATCTGTAAATGGCAACAAGATCGATGACATCAGGTCATTCACAAGTGGGGGGGTGGGGCAGGGACAGCCAGCAGGTGCCAGTGAGGAGCCAGTATAGTGTCAGACTACTGTGTCTCTGCAGTCTGCTCCCCACAACCCCTTTGAGCTTTGGAGTTTGCACTGGGCTCTTTGGTAGTGGCACATTTTTAGGGCATTTGGAAATTGTCTGGGTTGGATTTTAGGGCTTAAGAATAAATCTCAACCAGGTGTGGTGGTACACGCCTTTAATCCCAGCACTCAGGAAGATATCTATGAGATCAAGGCCAGCCTGGTCTACATAGTTTCAGGGAGACCCTGTCTCAAAACATTAAAATATCAGAATGAACCGCTACACGGTTGTACCACAAAGAAGATAGCCCTTGTTATACTGCTCAGGGTGGGAGAGACGCTTTTTCATTACTTTTGTGTTTATTTTGTGCATTATGAGTGCGTGTGCCTGCAGAGGTCAGAGGACAACTCAAAGTTAGTTTTCTCCCACCACGTGGGTTCCAGGGATCAACTCAGGTCCTCAGGCTTGGTAGCAAGTGCCTTTACTTACTGCATCCTCTCACCATCCTGGAGCCACATTTTAATTACTGGTTACTAACCGCAACCTTTACAGGTCTTTGTCACCTGTGCTGGGCACTGCTACATCCGCTGTCCTAGCTGGGGTCTCAACAGCCTGTGAGGCTAGGACGGTGGCTCCCACTTTTCAGAGGGGAAAAATAAGGCTGAGCAATTCTCGGGCATGCCCAACGTTTGTGGCCCATACAGGTAGAGCTATGCCACTAGGCCAGGTGTCTGCTACTGCCACAGTATACCAGGCAGCACGTTGGGAAAGGTCTAGAATGGTCCTCAGGCGCGGCCTCCACCTCCTGCTCTTCCCACAGGCATTACAGGCATCGGGGGCAATCGTGGCCATGACGGGGGACGGTGTGAATGATGCGGTCGCCCTGAAGTCTGCGGATATTGGAATTGCCATGGGACAGACAGGGACAGATGTCAGCAAAGAGGCTGCCAACATGATTCTGGTGGATGATGATTTCTCGACTGTCATGTGAGCTGGTGATGTTGGCCGCCCAGGCTGTGTTGGGGCAGATATGGGAGTCTTCTGTGAGGAGGTTCGGGGGACTCCCCAGGGAGAGCTACATCTGAGATTCATCGCTACGGTGGAAGTCCCCACCCCGAATGTCAGGAGCCTCTCAAAGCAGGGTATTGGGGCTGATTACACAAGCACCGTAGGATATAAGGAAGGCCTAGAGCCACCGGAAGGGCTTGCGGCACAAGACAGGAGTTCTGGGTAGCTAATAAAAATAATGTTTAGGGGGCTGGAGAGCTGGCTCAGTGGTTAAGAGCAGGACCTAGGCTCGGTTCCCAGCACCCACATGGTGGCTAACTGTTCTAAACTCCAGTTCCAAGGGATCAGATGCCCTCTTCTGGTCTCTGCAGGGCATTGCACGTATTATTTTGCATGCAGGCAAAACACTCATATATGTAAAAAATCACATTTGGGGGCTGGGGAATGGCCCAGTCATTAAGTACTTGCCCTACAAGCATGAGGACCTGAGTTTGATCTCCCAGAATCCATGTGCACACATGCACTTTAGTAAAAATCACATGTGGAGGCCCAACGTGGAGGTGCAGGCCTTTGATTCCTGGGCTGAGGCTAAGGCAGGAGGATTGGATTTAAATTACTTTCCTCTGCATCTAATTTTAACTAGCTGTATCTAAGGCTTCACTGAAACTGCCTCACAATACCTAGGGAGAAATGTCTGGAAAGATTTTAATTATGTATGTGGGTATGTGCCCCATGTACATACAGGATCCTGAGGAGGCCAGAAGAGGGTGTCAGATCCCCTGGAACTGGAGTTACCGGCAGTTGTGAAAAGCCTTGTGGGTGCTGGGAACCAAACTCTGGTCCTCTCCAAGAGCCATATGAGCCCTTAGCCCCTGATCCATCTCTCCAGCCCTGGAAGAGTGGTAATGGCGGAATCCCACAGTGGGAACTTTGCTCTGCCATTAAAACTCTTAAAACCCAAATTTTTCAGTCAGGGTCTCACTGTACAGTCCATGGCCAGCATCATGGGAGTGGACAGAGGAGGGTGCTGGAGCTTGGTGGCTGTGAGCCTCGCTCCAGAGTCAGCAAGCTACTGTCTCGAAGGAGTAAGACAGAGCAGGACGCCCTATGTCCTCTGCTGGTCTCCACACACATCAACCACAGAGCTGTACCAGAAAGGAACCAGTCGGTGACATCTCCCAACCGCCCAGGACCGCTGTGCTGCTCCCACATGGACTTGGGTTTCCTTGATTTTGTTGTGTTGAACTGGAGGCGTACTTTGCCCTCAGCACCCTGAACACAGCTGAGGCCCTGGGCTCCAGTCAAGAGTCAGTTACAGTCTTACTGGAGGGGTCATGTAGGGTTTGCAGCAGAAGCCTGATGGGCATTGTAAGGACATCACCTCTACCAGTGTCTCCAGGCAGACCAGTAAGGGAGTTCCCGGCACTGTGGCTGAGCCGTCCCCCCAGGACCTCTTTGCCCACAAATGTGCTCTTCCCACCTCGCAGGAGCGCTGTGGAGGAAGGCAAGGGCATCTTCTATAACATCAAGAACTTCGTCCGCTTCCAGCTGAGCACGTAGGTACAAGGTGGACATCCTCCTGTCTATCAGCAGGCCCTGTGTCTGGCACATGCACAGACGAGCTGTTTGTGTCCCACAGGAGCATCGCAGCCTTAAGCCTCATCACACTGTCCACAGTGTGCAATCTGCCCAACCCTCTCAACGCCATGCAGATCCTGTGGGTCAACATCATCATGGATGGGCCACCAGCACAGAGGTGAGAGGTCGGACTGCTGGGAGGTGATGTGCCCACTTCCAAGGCAGGGTGGGGATTTTGCTCCCTACAGTGCGCTCCCTGGGCTGCCTTCCTGGCTGTCTCACTCAGCAGTCAGGTCACCACCTCCAGGAAGACCTCCTGGATCACTAACCGTGGTGACCTCAGGGGGATCATTTCCCTCAGGGGGATCATTCAGTGTTTTCTTGGTTGATTGGTTAGATGTGTCGCCACTGCATTGGATCAGTTGGCTCCAGGAAGACCTCCTGGATCACTAACCGTGGTGACCTCAGGGGGATCATTCAGTGTTTTCTTGGTTGATTGGTTAGATGTGTCACCACTGCATTGGATCAGTTGCAGGCCAGGTTTTGCTTTGTCCCCTGGTACCCTGCCCCCTGGCGTGATGCTTCCATGGCATCAGTGCTCACTGAAAGGGAAAGTCAGCCTGGCTGAATGGCACAGGGGACCAAAGTAGTTGGGAGGCGTCATTCCACCCGCAGCGGATGTGTTGCTGTGATGTGGCACCCAAGGAGAGACCCAACCCATGCCCCCAGAGCACAGCAAGGGCTGCCGGGGGCGAGTCTGCAGGCCAGGCAGCCGCCTACCCCATGCGCAGCTGGGCCATCCTGCTGTTTGAGCTGACACAGGATGAGTCTCTGTCCATAGTGGACCGTGAAGGGGGAGCTGGGTCCTGTTTGTCCCGGCCTGGCCCCACTCAGGAACCTCCATGGTAGTGGGACTCACCTGAGTGTTAAGGTAGAGAGGGGATCTGAGCCCGTGGCCTGGGGAGGAGGCTAGAGCCCAGTGTGGGCATTGCTGGGTGGCCTGGCCTCCCTCTGTCTAACTGGAGACAAGAGTAGGTTTGAGATGGAATTTGGCTAGCAGATGTTGGGGGGCACTCCGGGAAAAACCCGGAAGGGGGTGGTGTCATTTGCAGACTTCAGGTCCTAGGAAGCTCAGGAGTGGCTCTATGCCACGTGTCTTATTTTAGAACACAGGGTCTCTATAGTTCATGTTGGCCTAGAGCTGTATAGCCTAGGCTGGCCTTGGATTTGAAGCAATCCTCCTGCCTCAGCCTCCCGAGTCCTGGGATGACAGTCATGAGCCCCCTGGCCCGGCTCCCAAATGCCCTTTTCTACTCAGGGTGTATTTCAAAGTCTCTCCTCCTCCTGCCCAGCCTCGGAGTGGAGCCTGTGGACAAAGACACCCTGCGGCATCCTCCACGCAGCGTCAGGGACACAATCCTGAACCGAGCCCTGGTCCTGAAGGTGCTCATGTCTGCTGCTGTCATCATCGGCGGGACCCTCTTCATCTTTTGGAGAGAGGTGAGCAAGGTGTGGCGCTGGCTCGAGGATGGCCGGGGACCCTGCGCAAGGGCACATAGTGGGGACCCTGCGCAAGGGCACATAGTGGGGACCCTGCGCAAGGGTACATAGTGGGGACCCTGCGCAAGGGCACATAGTGGGGACTCGATGGTCCCCACCCTCAGCCTGGGGCTCCTATCAGAGGGAAGGGGGGTGAGATGTGGCCCCCAGCAATGGCAGAGACCAGGGAGGGAGTGGACTCCCAGGGAAGGTGTAGGAGGGAGCACAGACGGTGGGTGCCTTTCTTGCAAGGGTTCTGCTGTTTTGTCACAAGGACACCAAGAATGACTACCCCTGCCATACCCTGGGAGCATTTTGGCAGGAGTCAGTTTCCACACCTGGAGGAAGCCTGTGGCTAGGCTGAACAAGATGGAATTAGGCAGGGACCTGGCAGCCTGTTCCTCTGAGATCTGCAGGCACAGATGCACCAGCCTCCTCTACTTTAAGCCCACTCCTCCTCAGGGCCTGGAAGCTACGAGGGGAAGAGGGGGCACAGATTGAGCTGCGTCCCAATCTTAAAGGATTCCATCGGGTGGGGGAAACTGAGGCAAGCGCTGCCCAGAATCCCACACCCACGGTCCCGTCTCTTTGGGGCTCCAGCCAGTCCCTGTGATCGCTCAGGCCCCTGCGGAGCTCCAGGGGGTCCACTCACCAAGCCCAGGTGTGAGGTCCACGTAGTCCTCACCTGCCCATAGAGGAAGCTGCCCTTCCCCTCCCCATTACTTCCCCTCTGTGCTGGGAGCTGACCCTCCTGATGGAGGCCAATCCCCTCCCAGGGCAGGGGTCCCCTGCAGCCAGCACATCCACACCACTCAGGGCAGGTTTCTAGGGAACACCTTTCAGTCTGACCATGATTCTTGGGGTCAGCACCTACAGGCCATCCCCTGCACCCCTCAGCTCTAAGGCAGAGTTCCCCCTCGGCCATGAGCATCCTGTGTGCTGTATTCCAGATTCCAGAAGATGGAGCCAGCACCCCACGCACCACCACCATGACCTTCACTTGTTTCGTGTTTTTTGACCTCTTCAATGCCCTGAGCTGCCGCTCTCAGGTGAGCTGTGCTGACCCTGCCCACAGCCCCGCCCTGGAGACCCCGCCCTGGAGCGACCACTTCTCCGGCAAAGTCAAGGGCTCAGGAAATAGGGTGGAGTTAGGACCAGCTTTCATGCGCCTTCTGGCGCCGGATCCGGAATACATCAGCACCTGCCCATCTGTCCAGGCCAGCATGGGGCAACCCAGAGGAGGGGAACACAGACTGCATGGCATCCCTGGGCATCCCTGTTGCGTCCACACGCCATGTGCGCAAGCCCACGCGTGGCCCTCCTCCCCGCAGACCAAGCCGATATTTGAGATTGGCTTTTTCCGGAACCGCATGTTCCTCTTCTCGGTTCTCGGGTCCATTCTGGGACAGCTGGCCGTGATCTACGTCCCACCCCTGCAGAAGGTCTTCCAGACAGAGAGCCTGCAAGCACTCGGTGAGTGGCAGCAAGAGCCCCCCCCCGGGGGGGGGGGCCACAGAATGAGCTTGAAGTCAGGGCCACCGTCCTAGGACAGGCTCATAGGTTGGGTGGGAAGGTCACATGAGGACACAGCAGCAGCGGCCTGGGGCCCCTGGTCAGAGGCTCAGCCTGGAGGGACTGCAGCAGGGGGCCTGGGCTTGACAGACAGATGCTGACCTGGAGCTGGGCCTGCAGTTCTTCTGAACGAGACATAATTCAGTGGCCAGGGCATTCCAAAGGCCCACAGGGCACACTCCCTGGTGTGGAACCCAGGACTTCCCTGCAGCCTTGCTGAGGTTAGCTGGCTCTGCCTGGTCAATGAAAGCAAGCACAGGCTTGATTCATCTTAGTTGACCAGCACAAGTGGGGGCAGAAGGCAGAAGGTCAGTGGCAAGCCTCCTGCCCTTCTCACTGGCCACCCTACCCAAGGGCAGGGAACAGGAGAGGCTAGCACAGCGTGGGCTAGACCTGGCACAGCTCACAAGGGGCCCAGCATACTCAGGTCTGATACATGTGCAGATACAGGGGTCACTTGAGACGGGGGCAAGGCTAGAATGGGCACTGGTGTCCTTGTGGGGCACCAGTGAGTGCCCGGTGGGAGCATACAGGGAAAAGGAACCAGGGCTGGGGCGATGGGCAGCTGGTAAAGCACTTACCTTCCAAGCACAAAGACTGTTCAGTCCCTAGAATCCATGTGCTTAGAATCCCACACTGGGGAGGTGGAGACAGGAGGCTCCTTGGGACTCACTGGCCACTGGCCTGGCTGAACTGGAGCTCCAGGTTCAGTGAGAGACCCATGCCTCAAAGTGTAAGGTGGAAGCCGGGTGTGGTGGCGCACACCTTTAGTCCCAGCCCTCATAAAACAGAGGAAGATCTCTGAGACCAAGGCCAGCCTGGTCTACAGAGAGAATCCAGGCCAGCTGGGGCTGAACTGGAGCTCCAGGTTCAGTGAGAGACCCATGCCTCAAAGTGTAAGGTGGAAGCCGGGTGTGGTGGCGCACACCTTTAGTCCCAGCCCTCATAAAACAGAGGAAGATCTCTGAGACCAAGGCCAGCCTGGTCTACAGAGAGAATCCAGGCCAGCTGGGGCTGAACTGGAGCTCCAGGTTCAGTGAGAGACCCATGCCTCAAAGTGTAAGGTGGAAGCCGGGTGTGGTGGCGCACACCTTTAGTCCCAGCCCTCATAAAACAGAGGAAGATCTCTGAGACCAAGGCCAGCCTGGTCTACAGAGAGAATCCAGGCCAGCTGGGGCTACAGGGAGACCCTGTCTCCAAAACCAAGACAAAAAAACAAAACCAAAAAGATTTTTTAAAAAAAAGGAGTTTTACCAGGGATGACAGCCAATGTCCATCTCTGGCCTCTACACACAGGTGCACACACACGAAACCCTTTGGCTGGGGTGTAGCTCTGTTGGTACAATGCTTTGTCTAGTATGTACAAATCCCTGGGTTCCATCCCCGCACCACATAAACCGTGTATCATGGTACATACCTGTAATCCCACCACTGGAGAGGTACAGGCAGAGGATCAGGAGTTCAAGGTCAACCTCAGCTGCATAACAGGTTCCAAGCTAGCCTGGACTCCATGAGACCTTGTCTTAAGAAGAAAAACAGGTTTTATTTTTGATCTGGAACTCACTATGTAGACCCTGAGCTCAGGGAGGCACCTGCCGCTCCCTGGGGCGCACCACATGGGGGACTGAAGGTGTGCGCCACCACCCCAGCCTCCAAAACAAGTTCAATTGCTTTTCCCGCTGTGGGGAGGAAAGTCTGGGCGGCCAGTGTGCAACAGCCCCCAGGAGCCTGGGTCCCTGGAGTGGCGGACCCCTGCCCCGTGGCCCCTCCCTGTAAGTCTACAAGATGAAGAGGGGGGCAGAGGGCGGGGAGGAGCTGTAGGGCAGTGTGGGTGGCCAGCGGTGGGCATTGTTCTCTGACCTTCTCTCCCCCTGGTAGACTTGTTGCTGTTAACTGGCCTGGCCTCCTCCGTCTTCATCTTGTCAGAGCTGCTCAAGCTGTGTGAAAAGTTCTTCTCCCAAACCAGGAGCACCCAAAGGCTCCCTGAGGCCGTGTAAAGGAACCTCTGGGTCACAACCCATGACCTGTCCGTATGCATCTGGGGCCAGCCCCCTCTGAAAGGCAGATTTTAGAACCATGCAGCATCAGGAGCCTGGCTCCATGTGTCCTCTTGGGAACCCTGCAGGCCCTGTCTGTCCCTCCAGCCCTCCCCTGCTGGGTTCTGGGATGCACAGGGAGGAACTAACTCAAACCGCACTATTTATTAAACCACTGTGGTTTTTATTTAACCCCGTCTGTCTGCACATCTGTGCTGTGGTTGGAGCAATGCAACCCTGTGTGACTGCATGTCACTGCAAGCAGGATGGCCACACTGTCCTCGTCCTAAGATGAGGGTTTGGGATGGTTCCAGAAAGCACTAAGCCTCATGATGGATTTGGGATTTAATTTCCACACTCAAATCATACTTGTGGATTTTTGTTTCATGTAAAATCTGGTGTTAAATAGACAAGGTGCTGCCAGTGAACAAGGGACGGTATCCTGGACCAAAACTGCGCAGAGCAGCAGCCTCAGCAGTCGACAGCACATCACAGTGCCAAGGTAGAAAGCTGGTTGAGTGCATGCACACCTCTCCTCGGATGCTAAAAGAATCGACAGAATTCAGCACCACCTCCTGACAAAAACAGCTCATGAAACACAAATGGCTGCTCCGGTCACCCCCCAAAAATACAGATATGAAGCATCTCAAAGCAAACATCAGCATCAAGACTTACAAGGAAAGACCCAACAGTCTCCGTGGAGGTCAGGAAGGAGGAGTGTGTCACACAATACCCCCAGCTACTCAGAGCCTGAAGCAGGAGGAACAAAACTTCAACATCAGCCTGGGCAACTTAGCAAGACCCTGTCTCAAAATAAAATGGAGTGGGGGATGGCTCAGAGGTTAAGAGCACTGGCTGCTTTTGCAGAGGACTGGTTCTGTCCCCAGCAGAACCATTTATAACTCTGGTTCCAGAGAATCTGATGCCCTCTTCTGGCCTCCTCAGGAATTGCACACATTTAGTGCAATTGCACACATGCAGGCAAAATATAAACATAATTTTTAAAAGATGGCTGGGGCCACAGCTCAGAGGTAGGGAGCTTGCCTAGCATGTATGAGGCCTGGGTTAAGTCCCCAGTACTGCAAAAGATACGAGAGAATGGGTAAAGCCATTAGAAGAATAAAACTACACCCTCCACGAGAATCCAGTTTAGAAAAACAATCCCGGTGGCTGCCAGGGGAAGCTAGAACCTGCAGTGTGGGTGCTGGGGTCCCTCCCAGACCTCCCTCTCAAACAGGGAGTGGAGCCCCAGCTCCTGTGTCCTGAGAAGCCCCAGGTGACTCTGAGACATGCTCACAGCTTACAGGGGGTGGTCACTGGATGAAAAGGTTCAGGAAGGTCACAGAGACACATCACAAGATTCAAGTCTTGCTGTACTCATTGACCCTTGGTTAAGGAAAACGTCCACCCAGGCTGGAGAGATGGTGCAGCAGTTAAGAGCACTGGCTGTTCTTGCAGAAGAGCCGGGTTCCATTCCCAGCACCCACATGGTGGCTAAAAACCACCCGTAACTCCAGTTCCAGGAGGATCTGATGCCCTCTTTTGCCTCCACAGGCACTGCACAACACAGGTGCACTTACAACACATGCAGGCAGTACACTCAAAAATATTTTTAAAAAATAGAAAAAAGTCTGTTTATAGTTCCTGAAAAGACAAGAGCTTACCTCACAAACCCATAGCTGCTGAGGCTGGACAGAAGATTCAATCAAATTAATGAAATTCATTAATGTAGCTGAACCATCCTGAAACTATTAACTCTGTGTGCTCCTGTGAGTGGGGTGGGGGTGGTGCATATGTGTGGTCTGTTTGTGGGTGTTAGGCATGTGTGTTGGTATGTGTTGTGTATGCATGTGGTATGCATGTGTGGGGACATGTATGTGTTGTAGAATGTGGGGGAATGCACATGCATGTGTGTGTGCCCATGGAGCCAGAGGTTGAAGCTGGGTGTCTACCTCTCACCACCACATTGAGACACAGTCTCTCATTTGGCCAGAGCTTGCCAATCGGCCCCAAGGATCCTCCTGCCTCCACCTCCATGGTGCTGGACCTACAGGCACATGCCGCTGCACCCAGCTTTTTACATGGGTGCTGGAGTTCCAAACTGAGGATCTCCTGCCAGTGAGCAAGGTCTACCATGAGCCAGCCCCCCAGCCCGGTGTGGTGGTGTTTCAGTGCAGCCTCAGGCCCATGCTGTTTGGACCAGCCCCGGGGACTGCAGGCCCCAGCCTCTGACTTTTTAAAAAGTAGTCACCGTGGCACCAAAGTTCAGAGAAAAGCAAACGTGAGGACACTCCAAAATGGTGGGAGGGAAAACAGCCCTTTACCATAAAATTCCAGTGTTAAAACACAAGAAGAGACCTAAATTCACTAGAAATTCAGTTGACAGAAGCATTTTAAGTGGAGAAAGGACAACATACCATTTAATAGAAAAGGTTTCGGGCTGGGGAGATGATCGGCCAGTGAAAATGCTAGTTGTGCAAGCCTGACAACTCTAGCTTGATCCCTGGAACCCACGTGAAAAATTCCAGACTGGTGCACACCTGCGATCCCAGCATCCTACAGTGAAGAGGGAGCCAGAGCCAGGAGAGTCACCCAGAAGTTCGCCGGCCAGCTAGCCTGGAGTACACAGCTCAGCAGCAGAAGAACCTGCCTCAACAAGGTGGGAGCCGAGAGCCGAGTCCCCAGAGTTGCCCGCTGGCCTCCACACACATGCTGTGGCACATACACACAAATTAATTTTAAAGTATTTTAAAGGTATTGAAACTTTAGGAGTAAGATGAGATCTATTTTTAAAAAACACTTTGGACAAGACAATGATTTAGAAACAGAAACCATAGAAGTAGAGGAAGAAAATGACGACCTCCACCTGAGCGTAGAGCCCTCAGCCTCCAGGGCAGTGCAGTTAGTGATGGAAGTGTGGAATAAAATGTAGAATTCGTGCACAAAACAATGGCACAGATGAAGCTGAACAGGCCATAAACACTAGCTACCCGGACTAAGTGTGCTGGTGCTTTGTTCAAAAAAGCCCTCGGGCCTGGAGAGATGGCTCCGTGCATAAGAGCACGCATTGCTCTTGCAGAGGACCCGAGTTCAGTTCCCAGCACCCATGGCTGGGTGGCTCACAACCACCTGTAACTCCAGCTCCAGGACACCGCCTCTGACCTCTGCAGGCACCGTACTCAGCGTGTGCACATCCCCACACACAGACGCACACACACAAACTCCACTGTTTTTCAGATTTAAAAGGCACCCAGATGGATACGATACAAACCTTTTCAAAAAAAAATGAAACTGTTCAACACCTAACAGAAATTAAACCGCGCTTTTTGTCTGTCAGGTCAGTAGACTCTGGATCTTCGCATAGCGCTGGCGTGAACATGGTAAATGGGTGCTTGGTTGTAAGAGGGATAAAAAGAGGAAGGAGCCATCAACATGGAGAAAATAACAGTCACACCTCAGGCAGCTGCATCATAGCATTCAGGAGGCAGAGGCGGGGGGTCGTGAGTCCAAGGCAAGGCCAGACTACAAAGGAGACCCTGTCTCAAAAAGCCAAGGTCTGGGGTTTAGTTACACTTCTGTGGTGAGCATGTGCAAACACAGCCACGCTCCAGGGTGCAGAGTCGGGAGCTCGAGGGCAGAGAGACGTGGCTCTCCAGGGATGTCCTCTCTCAGCTCTTTCACCACGTACACAGGTATTAAGCACCCTCTAAATAGAAGTGTAGGGTGGGAAACAAGAATAGTCACGTTTGCAACACTGTCCATGTTCTTTACCTTCTAGTACCTTCTGGGCTAGGACCAGCCTTGACTTGTAGGGAGGTCTCTGGCCCTTACTGCTGAATTCTTGTTCCAGTTCACAAAACAGTAGAGTCCTTGGGGCTGGAGAGATGGCTCAGTGGTTAAGAGCACTGGATGCTCTTGCAGAGGACCCGGGTTTGATTCCCAGAACTCACATAGCGGCTAACAACTGTCCATAACTCCAGTTCCAGGGGATCCGACGGCCTCTTCTGACCTCCGTGGGCTCTGTATTACATGGGTGCACTTACATACATGCAGGCAGCACACTCATACACATAAAAATATTTTAAACACTACACTCCTCTTTTATGAAAGAGAGACCATGAGTTTCTCAGACCCCAGCAAGTTAGCTAACGCCCCACACTGACTTGTGTGCTGACAAGTGTGTGATAGGTGTATGTACGGACAGGCAAAGCCCTGAGCACCGCCACCTGGCCCCCAGAAGAGGACTGCACCATGTGAGCCAACACCTGCGGGGCTGCTGTCTTCCAGTGCTGCTTGGGGGGCAGGTGGTGCCTGTCTGTGAGCCACACACTTGCAAGGGCACAAGAAGAACGGGGCCATGACCTCCCCAGCAGCCACACATGATGGCAACGCGTCACACCAAGCCACGGGCAGCACAGGCCAACAACCAGTGAGGAACACAAACTGCGTTTCACAAATAACACTACAGCCAAGTGACCACCAGTGACCTAATCCCGTGAAGCCAGGGTGGGTGGTTAGAAGGTTCTAGTATGTTCTATCTCCATCCATTGGAAGCTGGCTTCTTACCAGGGAAACTGAAATAAGCCCTTTTCTGCAACCAGTGCCCACCCCACCCCCATGCACCGAGACCACACTTTTCTCCTGAAGGGGAACACCCCAGACTTGCTGTCGTCAGGACTGTTCTGTGAACTATCCCATGAGCCTCCTGGGAGAAAAAAGAATCGGCAAAAATATGTGCATTTCACTTGCTATGGCTTCTGAGGCAAACTGAATAATCAAAGGTTTTATCAGATCTGTTAAGGGTCCAAGTTTATAGCAAAGGGCAAAGGAAGAGGTAGAAGTCTTAGGAGCCCACAGCCACTCCCATGGCTGCAACGCCTCACAGTGTGTGCCGGGTGGGGGACAGCAACTCTGTAAACGGCCCTGGAGTCTGTCTAAAGTGAGTCTGCAGTGCTGGATGACCCAGCACCCTTCTGGAAGTAGCCCTATGCTATGGCCTTAGAGGCCGTCCCTGGAGGCTTACACTCCAGGCCAGGGCTCAACCTCACCCACCACTGACTTCTGGGAAGGGTCCTAGGCATCCATCAAATGGCTCCCAGACCCTAGGTCTTCCAGTGCCCCACGCTTGGGTTGGCCCCTCGGAATATGGAGTTTCCGTATTTGCTTATCACATTCATTTCAAAAGACCCGAGTCAGCTAGACAGGAGCCCATGACAAACCCCAGGACCCCCACACCAAGGGACACCATCTTCAGATCCTCAGCTGCAAACCCAGAAATCCCATACCAGCTTCGTTCCCATAAAGTACCAAGGTGTTCACCAAGCTTCTCTGTCCTTCCCAGGCACAGTGGGTCACTGAGGAACTCACTGGGATCCCAGGGGAAAGACCAAGTGTCCCCCAGTGGGCAGAGCCTCCTCATGAGGCTAGAACTCATGTTCTGAACCCCACCAGCTCCAGCAGGGTTCATCGTGTACAAGAGTGAGGTACTGATCAGATAGATGGTCAGACACTTGGAGCTCCCAGGAGGTGAACCCCAGCAATTATGGCTTCAGAGGGATTTTTTTTCTTGCATGGCGTCAGTATGACCATGTGGCTCTACATTAAAGTTAATCCAGTGGGGGAGGTGGTCTGAGGACCTCCACCTACCCAACAGGGAGGGGTTTGCCACATATCTGGGGAGTCCCGCTCTGGTTCCAGGAAGTCCACTGTTCAGGGGGGCTCCTCAGCCATCAGTGCCTTAGTCATCAGGGACTTCTCGGAGCCCCTCACTGTGACGAGCTCGCCCGCTGGCCTCCAACAGGATCTGGGCCCCGGGGTCGGAGTCGAGGATGCTCTTCTTGTCCTTGACCTTGGGAAGAAGAGGACAGTGCATGTGTTTGGAATGTGACAGAGAAATCACAGTTCCCACCAACCGGGACGGCCCTCCCAGTGACTTCCTGCTGGGATTCAGCTTATTAGACTGGAGACGCGGGAAGCCAGGTGGCCCTGGTGCCATGGGGCCTCCCACACTGGGACATCATCACTGTGCAGTGTTAGAGGGAGGAGCCCAGGCCTGCTGGTCTTGAACTCAGGTAGGGAGGGCAAAGGACCACCCAGCATGCCCAGGTGCACACCACAGGCAGCCTCCCAAGACGAATCTACACCCAGCTGTGCTGGGCATCTCTAAGTATCGCTGTGGACAAAATGCCTCCAGATGGAGCAGGTGGAGTTACAGTGAGGAAAGGCAGGAAGGCCCCAGCCACACCACTCTGAACTCACCAGATGCGCCTCTAAGGGGTCCCCGAGCCCCCACACCTCCATTTTATCAAACTGGAAGTCCTCCTGGGCGGACAGCTGTGGGCTGTTGTAGGTGGTGCACATGGGCTTGGCCTTGCTGTGCCCTTTCCCGAAGTCAGCAGCTACCCACAGTCCAAAGTAGTGGTGCTGCCCACCCATGCCCTGTGAAAGAAGTGGGAACAGAGGACAGGGTCAGCAGCCACTTGGGGCCCCAGAGCTTCAGACACCACAGGCTCTCACAGGTTCTCACTCCAGAGAACCAGAAGGAGCTGGGTGTAGTGACACACATCCAGGATCTCAACACTCAGGAGGATGAGGCAGTTTTAGGCCAGCCACTTAAAAAAAAAGTGGGGTTGGGGGGAATGGGGTGGTACCAGCCTGGGACATGGGGGAAGGTAGGAAGTGAAGATTTTTTTCCTGAACCATGAACTTTGTATAACTGCTGTGTAGGAATCCCATTCCACGTCACCCAGGCAGCAGATCCTGCCCCGTGGAAACAAGGGGGGCAGGAGACTGGAAAACCTACAGATCCTCAGGGCTCCCCAGGCAGTTACTAAGGGGTAAGGTGAACACAGGGGCCCCTAGAAACCCATCTGTACCCCGTTTCCACACGTCAAGGTAGAAGCCAACCTCAGCTCACTGACAGGACAGTGGCAGGCTAGGAGTACGGTGAACACAGGGGCCCCTAGAAACCCATCTGTACCCCGTTTCCACACGTCAGGTAGAAGCCAACCTCAGCTCACTGACAGGACAGTGGCAGGCTAGGAGTAGCAACTCTAACCCGTCCTTCCCACCACAGTCCCACTACCTGGCTCACACAGGCTTCAACCCTGCCTCCCCACAGCTTCGTCCCGACACCTCCGCCATCATGCCCTCTTGTCCCTGGCAGACCCAGGAGGGGTTTGCCGCATATGTGGCCGACCTGGCTCCATCTTGAGGCATTGAAGGGACCCGAATCCCTGGCCTTACTTCATAGGGAGCCACTTCTGGTCCCCAAGCCAAAGACCAGCAATTCCTGGGGACCTCAGGGACTGCTCCTGGGCTGACAGCCAGGCCCATCTGGGAGGAGTCTGGTGCCCAAACCTGGTGTCCTGAAAGCCTGGCCACACACCCCTCCCACTCCCTGTGGTAACAAGGAGCCCCTGACCTCCTTGGCTCAGCAAGCACAGGGCTGAGCCTTGTCAGATGATTAGTCAAGAAACAGAGAAAAGGGGCCACAGAGGACCTGAGTTCAGTTCCCAGCACCCATATGGTGGCTAACAAGCATCGATTTCAGTTGCAGGGCGTCCAGTGTCCTCTTCTGGCCTCTGCAGGCATTGAAACACTCTTGGTGCACTTACATATGTGCAGGCAAAACACTCATACACATAAAAAAAATAAACGGGTTGGAGAGATGCTCAGTGGTTAAGAGCACTGTTCCTGCAGAGGACCTGGGTTTGAATCCCAGAACCCACACAGTGGCTAACAACCATCCATAACTCCAATTCCACGGGATCTGACACCCTGTTCTGGCCCCCTTGGGCACTGCAGCACATGGGTACACTAATAGTACACTCATACACATAAAATAGAAATAAAACAAGAAACAGAAAACCCAGGCATGGTGGTGCACACCTTTAATCCCAGCACTCAGGAGGCAAGTGGATCTCTCTGAGCTCCAGACCAGCCTGGTCTACATAGCAAGTTCCAAGCCAGCCAGAGCTATACAGTAATACCCTGTCTCAAAAAACAAAACAAGGGCCGGGGGTGGTGGCACACGCCTTTAATCTCAGCACTCAGGAGGCAGAGGCAGGCAGATCTCTGTGAGTTCAAGGCCAGTCTGGTCTCCATAGAAAATCCAGTCCAGCTGGGGCTACAGGGAGACCCTGTCTCAAAAAGACCAAAAAACAAAAACAGAAAAGAGGCTCCCAGCTGTCATGATCTGTGTGGGCACCTGTCCCTCCACACCACAGCCTGTGCAACCACCCAGAGCCCACCCAGCCCCTGCTGACCCTGGGCTCCTCCCTTCTCCCCTCCTGTCCTTCCTGTGACAGGTCACTAAACAGGCACACAAGTCACCCCAGTCACAGCCCACCTGCTGTTTCATGAGTCACTGCTGACCGGATCCAATGTCGAGAGCCCTCAGCTCAGGGGTCTCTCTCCCACCCTAGCTCTGCACATGGTCAACACCCACAGGTAAAGAGCAGGACAGCCTGCCAGTGACACCCTCATAGGACACAAATTGATCATCTGAGGACCAGGGAAAGGGGCCAGGCTGTTGACCACAAACTACAGAAAAGCCCAGGAGAGATGTGGCCATCCCTAAGGGATGATGTACCCTGTTGGCTCTCGGCAGAGTGCAGAGTGGATGGAGACAGCCTATAGGTGCTTGTGCCTCGTTGGTGCCCCCCAGATCCTTACCAGTCCATTGGGCATGGTCTGTTGCCCGTGATTCAAGTACATGTAGTGGTCGTTGTAACCCGTGTGTGTGTACACGGCCATGCGGGGGGCAATGGAAAACAGGAAGCATTTGTTGTCCCCTGGAATGACAGAAAGTCGGGAAGGGTCACTGCATCTGAGCCAGACACAAAGAGCTGCAGAGGCCAACAGGCTGTGGCCCAGAATGCAGCTACCAGGACCTTCTTTCTTTAGTTGGGGGAAGTGTGGACCGGCGGGCAGGCCACAGGCCCCACACAGGACAAGCCTGTGGCTGCTTGGGAACCCAGCTGGAGAAGCTTGGTGACGGAGTCAGGAACATGGCCTCTGCTTGAGGTCTCTTCGGCTCTGGTCACAGGGGACGGGGAGGGAGGGAGGATGGGGCAGGAAGAAGGGGAGGGGGAGGGAGGGGGGAGTTGAAGGGGGGTGAATATGGCCTAAATATATTGTATTCATGTATGAAATTGCCAAAGAATATACATTTAAAAATTTAGATGTTGGCATATTCCATGTCTGGTGAAGACACATTTCCTGGCTCATAAATGGTGCCTTAGTTTGTTTTGAAGACAGGGCTACATAATAAGACTTTGTCAGCAACAACAAAAAGCCAGGTACCGTGGTGGTGCACAGCTTTAATCTCAGCACTCTGGGAGGCAGAGGCCGAGAGGCCTCTGGCCAGCCTGGTCTAGTACCAAGTTCCAGGCTATATAGTGAGATCCTGTCTCAAAAACAACAAAAATCCACTTGATGGTCTTCCACAGGACCTGAGTTTGCCAAGAGGGGGAGGGAGGGAGGAGGGGCAGAAAGAAGAGGAGGGGGAGGGAGGGAGGAGGGGGCAGGAAGAAGGGGAGGGGGAAGGGGTAGAGTCCTGGGGTGACTTCCTGGGATGGGAGATAGGGTCCTTGAATTCATGACCCCTATTCCACAGGCCCATTCAGGGATGAAAGCCAACTGTCACCCACAGGGGGCCTCACAGGAGACACACACCACATAGCCTGCTGAGTGCTGGGCCTGAGGCACTGCCTGTTTTGATCCCGGTACCCCAAGATGCCAGAGACTGCCAGCTTGAGCCTATGGAGGACCAAGCTCACGATCCCACAGGGTTGGCTATTAGCTGGAGAGGAGGCCACCAGAAAGAGATCAGAAAGCCAAACACACAGGATGGACATGAGAGGGCATCTGTGGCTCAGGGGAGGATGAACAGGCCCTGAGGCAGATAGGGGCCCAGACCAGCAGCACAGGGGAGACAGCACCCAGCCTCCAGCCAGGCAGACTCATGGGGGCCTTGATGGTCAGGGTCACAGATTTGCTGCGCCACACCCTTCAAAGTCAGGAAGGACATCTGAGAGAGGGGGGCTGGGAGAAAGTCACTCCGTGGGAAGGAACCCAGGCCAAGACAGCTGTGGGGCCTGTAGGGAACACTGGGGGACCTTTAGTCTCCATGTGGGGCTTCTAGTGTTGGGAGGGGTCATCTGGAACCAGGCAGAAGGGCTTTCCCAGGCATCAGCAGGCTGAGGCTCCCCAGAAGGCTGAGGGTGCTCTAAGACACAGGCAGCAGGACACATCCCACAGCACCCCACAGCACCCTGCTTCCTGTGCTTTATAATGACTGTTTGACCCTTAGTTACTGGACCCCATGATGCTAGGAGAGGTGACAGGGCCACAGCCTGGAGTCTACCAGAGTGAGGAGTCCATGTGGAGAATATCACTCCCCAGTGGGGAACGTCACTCCCCAGGACAGAAGTAAGGACCTAAGAAGCCTGTGCTGGACAGTGTCAGTTGTCAAGTTGACACACCCGGGTGGAGGAAGCCTCAACTGAGGAATTCCTCCATTGGACTGGCCTATGGCCATGTCTATAGGGCATTTTCTGGATTGAGTGATGTGGGAGGGATCATCCACTGTGGGCAGTGCCACCCCTGGGCAGATTGTCCTGGCTAAGCACTGGCCAAAGGAGCAGGCCAGTAAGCAGTGTTCCTCCATGGTCTGTGCTTCAGCTCCTGCCTCCAGGTTCCTGTCCTGCGTTCCTGCCCTGGCTTCCCTGATGATGGACTGAGCTGTGAGTCAAATGAACCCTTTCCGCCCCAAGTTGGTTTGGTCAGTGTTTTTATCATAGCAATAGAAAATACCTAAGGCAGAGCCCCACCTGCCCCTTCTGGAACCTCTCCCAGCAACACTCCGTGCAACAGCAAGACAGTTCTCACTACGACACACACCACCTTGTGCAACCCTGGGTCAGCCACTCACCTCACAGTGAGGCGACGTGAGTTCAAGGGAAAGGAGGCAGAGAAGAAGCATGGTGCTGAGGGCCAGAGGCCAGATCTGAGTCCTGGCTACTCAGTCAAAGCCTCTGGCCTCCAAGGTACCAAGAAAACACCCAGGGCTGGGGCTCGCCTAGCAAATGGGAGGCCTGGAGTCTGATCCCCAGCACCATGAAAGGAAAGCCCAAGTCAAGAGCTGCCCACCTGGCCTCTCCCAGCCTGGAGGTCACTTGCAGGGCAAAGCAACATAACTCTAACCTGAGGATGCCATGGGCAGGCACAGCTGTCCTCTGCTGGCTCACATCCTAGAGCAGGTCTGTGTGGAAATGACCCTCCTCACCAGGAGAGTGGAGCCTGCTTGTTACAAAACGGTGAGACCCACGGCACAGTCTAAGGTCGCTGCAAAGGCTCTGGGGAAAGTGGGGTTTATCTGTGATCACATTTCTTGGGGTTCACTCAAACCTCAAGTGCAGCCTGCGCTGAAGTGTCAGTTGGGTGAAGGGAAGCCTGTTCCTAGGACAACATGGTGGACAGCATGGGGGTCCTAAGGCAGCTGTCTCTAAACAGGCTTACCTGCCAGGCTAGTGACACTGGGTCAGGGAGGACATTAGCTGGAAACTGAACTTGGGAAGGGTTCCCACCATTCCCAGAACTGGACGAAAGATCTGGAACATTCTGAAACCCAGCAATAAATCAAATCCAAGGCACACCTGATCTAGGAAACGGAAGCACCAACCCTCAACAAGCCGTTCTCACACCTTGGCACGTGGCCATCAGCCTGACCGGAAGGTATCTAAGGAAAGGCCTCCAGAGCCACACCTGCATCGGGAAGACCAGGTCGGTTCACCATGATGGCACCTTGGAGGAAGGCTGGCCGTCTATGGGCACAGGAAGCAGCCTGCTGCCCAGGGAGGAAGCTGGGGGTGTCTGAGAAGGATGGCTGCCGCCAAGCAGGGAGTGAAGGCATAGCTGACCCAGTCACACAAGAGCTTCCACACCCAGTAAAGCCACAAAACCAGAAACCAGTCAAGCAACACATCTGGGGGAGGGGCCAGTGCTTGACAGCATGGCCTAGGATGTGTCTGTGCCCTCCTGGACATCCCTCTCGTGATATCTGTGTCCTCGGGGGTTGATACCTTCCTGCTCACTTTACCTCCTGCCAGAGCCAAAGACGGGGTCTGATGTCAGAAAAGGGTACCACGCCTCACTAAGCTGCAGCTCCAAGGAAATAGAGGATTGGGAAAAGCTTGTGTGTTTGTGTATGTTCGTGTGTGCGCGTGTGTGGAGGCCAGAGGTTGATGTCTGGTGTCTTCCCCTATCACTCCTATTGTGTGTTTTGTTGAGCTGCTGCTGTTGTTTTGTTTTGAGACAGGATCTCCCTCTAACCCCAACTGTCCTGGAACTCACTACGTAAACCAGGCTGGCCTTGAACTCACAGAGCTCCACCCGCCTCTGCCTCCCGATTGCTGCGCCACCATGCCTGGCTTCCACAGTATTTTTTTTTTTTTTTTTTTGAGAGGGTCTCTCAATGATCCTGGAGCTCATGTGCTCATCCCAGTGAGCCCCTGGGACTCTCTGCCACCCGGCCTCCCCACTCCCCCTCCTCCTCCTCGGTGTTGGGATCACAGGTACACCACTGCACCTGGCCATGTTACAGGGATGCTGGGATCTGAACTCAGATCCTCACACTTGAGCAACAGGCACTTTTCCATCTCCCCAAATCCAGGAGAAACCCTTTCCACACCCTGGGCTGTCACCGCTGGGCAGGGTCTGGGCTGTGGCCATCTGACCAGCACTTCTCAGGCTTCTGCAATCCCTCTGGGATTAGGTCCCTGCTGGGATGTTGCTTTGAGTATGAAGTGGGGTCCCCTTCAGGCTCATGTGTTTGAACAGCTGCTGCCCAGCTGGTGGTACTGTTCTGGGAGGTGGTGGAGCCTTTAGGTGGTGGGCATTGCTAGAGGAAGTGGACTGCTAGGGGCAGGTTTGAGAGGCGTTGGTCCCCACCTTCCCCACCGTGAAGGCTGCATTCAGCAAACCATGAGCTGTAGTGAAGTCTTCGTCCCTTAAGTTGCTCCTATCAGGATGTTGGTCACAGCAACAAGTAAAAAAGTGTTCTGGGCCGGACGCTGTGGCGCACACATTTACTCCCAGCACTCGGGAGGCAGAGGCAGGAGGATCTCTAAGACCAAGGCTAGCCTGGTCTACATAGTAGTTCCAGGTCACCTGGGGCTACAGGAGACCTTGTGTCAAAAAGACAAAAAACAAAAGAAAGAAAGAAAAAAGTGCCCTAGTTGACTTTCATTCCTGCTGCGGTACAAACACCCTGACAAAAGGCAACCCTGGGGGACCGCGCTGATCTGGTTACAATTCCAGGTCACAGAGCATCACTGCAGGGAAGTCCTGGCAGGAACTCAAGTGGACAGTCATATCACACCAAGTGTCACACCACACTCAGTGTCACGGCACACCCACAGTGTCACATCACACCCACAGTGTCACATCACACCCACAGTGTCACGGCACACCCACAGTGTCTCGGCACACCCACAGTGTCACGGCACACCCAGTGTCTCGGCACCCCCACAGTGTCACGGCACACCCACAGTGTCTCGGCACCCCCACAGTGTCACGGCACACCCAGTGTCTCGGCACCCCCACAGTGTCACGGCACACCCAGTGTCTCGGCACCCCCACAGTGTCACGGCACACCCAGTGTCTCGGCACCCCCACAGTGTCACGGCACACCCAGTGTCTCGGCACCCCCACAGTGTCACGGCACACCCAGTGTCTCGGCACCCCCACAGTGTCACGGCACACCCAGTGTCTCGGCACCCCCACAGTGTCACGGCACACCCAGTGTCTCGGCACCCCCACAGTGTCACGGCACACCCAGTGTCTCGGCACCCCCACAGTGTCACGGCACACCCAGTGTCTCGGCACCCCCACAGTGTCACGGCACACCCAGTGTCTCGGCACCCCCACAGTGTCACGGCACACCCAGTGTCTCGGCACCCCCACAGTGTCACGGCACACCCAGTGTCTCGGCACCCCCACAGTGTCACGGCACACCCAGTGTCTCGGCACCCCCACAGTGTCACGGCACACCCACAGTGTCTCGGCACACCCACAGTGTCACGGCACACCCACAGTGTCTCGGCACCCCCACAGTGTCACGGCACACCCACAGTGTCTCGGCACACCCACAGTGTCACATCCCACCCACAGTGTCTCGGCACACCCACAGTGTCTCGGCACACCCACAGTGTCACGGCACACCCACAGTGTCATGGCACACCCACAGTGTCACATCACACCCACAGTGTCACGGTACACCCACAGTGTCTCATCACACCCACAGTGTCTCGGCACACCCACAGTGTCATGGCACATCCTCAGGGTCACGGCATACCCACTGTCAATAGTGTAAAGCATGTGCCATGCTGCATGTTCCCTGGCTCCTCACCAGCTCTCTTCACTCTTACCATAGTTCAGGGCTCAGCCCAGCAATGGCACCGCTCACAGCAGACTAGATCTTCCCACATAATACCCCTCCGGACAACCCCATAGACCTGCCCACAGGCCAACCTGGTCCAGATAATTCCTCACTGAGACTCTCTTCCCAGGGGATTCTAGGTGTCAAGTCCAGTTAACACTAAGCAGCACGAAACAACTGGTCTTACCTTGAAACTGAGGCTTGACCTCCCAGGAGCAGGAGGCGAAGCCCCCGAACACGTGGCCCTTGCTGTCCTCGAGGACAACCAGACAGGGCCCCCGGTGCGTGATGTGGCCGCACAGCTGGGAGAAGCTCTGCCCGTGGAGCTGTGTGGAGAAGAGCAGGTGCCACTGGTGCTGCTGCTCCACGGCCAGATGGGAGTTGAGATAGATGACGGACGGCAGGTCCAGGATGCTCTCAAACTGCCTCCCCTGGTCCACATGGCGCTCGGGGACCAATGTGGCCAGGTCGAGGGATGAGCCAAGGAGAAGGCCCCTGTGGACGACCACACTCAGAAACGTGGCCACGTGGGGCACATGGAACACCCAGTCTTCGATCACGGCTCGGTCACAATCCCGGTCCAGGCACTGCGCCCCCAGAAACTTCTGGCCATCTGGGGAAGAGGAAACCAGCATTACCAAGCCACCATGTGACCTTACAGCAACCATCCAGCCAAGAACCAATCCAAGGACCACAAGTGGTGTGTGGCCATCACACAGGGAAGTGGTTTGGCTGATGTGAAAGGTGCTAAGTCCAAAGGGCACACCCAATCTCAAACACTGGTATGAAAGAAACTCTAAAATACTCAACACTTTTTAATATCAATTATGTGTTAGAACTATATTTTGGATATATTAAAGTTTGCTTCTTTCTTTTATAATGTCTTTTGAGAAAGACATGAGTCTTCAAGGCCCTCACCAGGAAGCCCAGTCCAGAAGCATCTTAACAACCCGAGGCTGCTGCGGGAACATTCTCAAAGCTTAGGGCTTTGACCTCCAAGGTCAACGGCAGGCAGACCGGAGACCTGTGCTGTTCTCCAGGCAGGGTGGGGTGTGGCTCACGGGTTACAGGCTAGCTAGTGTACCCTCAAAGAGAGGGTTGCATCATCTATTTACACTTGCTTAGAAACATCCTATGCTGCTGTCCACCTCCTGCCTCCAGAGAGTGGGGTTACCACACCAGGTGACTGAAACCTTAAGGATAATTTTAACTGTCCAACTTAGCTTTCTCTACCTAAATGGCAACTTTTATGTTTTTATGATCTGCTTTTTAAAAAAAACTGACTTTGCCAGGCATGGTGGCACACGCCTTTAGTCCCAGCACTCAGGAGGCAGAGGCAGGCGGATCTCTGTGAGTTCAAAGCCAGCCTGGTCTACATAGCGAGTTCCAGGCCAGCTGAGGCTACAGGGAGACCATGTCTCAAAAAGACAAAAACAAACAAACAAAAAAAACTGACGGAGAGACAGCTCGGCAGTTCACAGCCCTTACTGCTCTTGTGGGTTCGGTTCCCAGCAACCATAGGGCAGCTCACAACATCCTGTAACTCCAGTTCCAGAAGTACTGCTCAAAAAGGTCCTATCATCAACCACAAAAGATAAAAACCATAGATTTTTAGAGGACTGAAGTCACATGAAGTGCTCTAACCAAATGGTAAAATTACAGATTGGAAGAAAAAGACAGGTTGAGATACTTGCGAACATGTGGTAACTGAAGAATCTTCCGCCCTGGTGTGGTGTGTATGCCTGTAATCCCAGCACTCGGGAGGCAGAGGCAGGTGGAGCTCTGGGGGTTCGAGGCCAGCCTGGTCTACATAGCGAGTTCCAGGACAGCTGGGAGACCGTGTCTCAAAAAGACCAAAAAAAAACAACAAAAAACAAAAAAACTTCCAAACAGTCAGCCAAGGAAGGTTCACAAAGAACATTGGAAAATACTAAGACGGGCCAGGAAGACGGCTTAGTGGGTAAGGGGCTTGTCACCAAGTCTGACAACTCAAGTTCCCTCCTCAGGACCCACATGGTGGAAAGAGAGAATCCACTCCCAAAGGTTGTCCTCTGACCTCTGCACATGCAGGTGGCGGACACATGAACAGACACATGCATATACACAAAAATACATACATACATACATATACATAGAAAGAAAGGAAGGAAGGAAGAAGGAAGGAAGGAAGGAAGGAAGGAAGGAAGGAAGGAAGGAAGGAAGGAAGGAAGGAAGGAAGGAAAAGAAAAGACAGACATACAGACTGGAGAAATGGCTCAACAGTTAAGAACTCTCGCTGCTCTTGCAGAGAGCTGGACATCAGTTTCAGGACCCATATCATGTAACACGACTGACTGTAACTCTAGCTCCAAGAGATCCAATTCCCTCTAGACTATGCAGGCACTCTCACACATGTGGCGCGCGCGCACACACACACACACACACACACACACACACACACAGGTAAATAAATAACACTAAGATGAATGAACAGAAACAGCCCACTCGAACCTACGGGATGCAGCTAAAGGTGTGTTTGGAGAGAAATTTATGGCCTGGAATTCATTATGTAGACCAGGGTGGCCTCAGTCTCACAAAGATCCACCAGCTCTGCCACCTGAGTGCTGGGCCCAGGGCGTGCACCACTATGCTCAACTAAACATCTATCGTAAGCAACTAAAAAGATGGGGCTGAGGAGGTGACAGGGTTGGTGAGGTACCTGCCACGTAAGCATGAAGGCCCGAGTTTAGGTCCTCAGCACCCGTGCAGAAGCTGGGGCGTCGGTAATGCCAGAGCTGGAGAGGGGAGGCAAAGACTGGTGGATCCCCAGAGCTCACTGCATGAGGGGAGGGGCGAAGGCATGTAAGCTGAGGAAGCCTAGGGGCTGTGGGTGAAGACTTTCCAATGTGGCCTTAGGGGACACCCACACTCCTGTAAGTAACCCTCACCTGCTGCTCTGTAAGTAAACCAAATAAACTCACTGGTTTCCCAGACTGCAGTTTGGCGAAATGGTACGTTGGTATGTCTTTGGGACCCAAGGACAAGGGGGCCTACCTTGTTACACCTCCCAGAAAGAATTTTAGCTACAGAGGGCGACTGAGGAAGAAACCAGTTGTCCACCTCTGACTTCCACATGCACATGCACACACACACGTTCAGCCTCACACATGTGCATAAACCCACGTGAACGTGTACATAGACCACACACACACAAACTAAGACAAAACTAAATCTAAAGCAAATGAAATAAAATCCACCAAGGGGCAAAAAAAAAAAAAAAATCAACCAGACTAAAATTGTTCTTTTCTTTTTAAATCAAGAACAGGGCTAGAGAGTTGGTTTAGCGTTAAGAGCACTGACTGCTCTTGCAGAGGATCCAGGTTCAAATCCCAGCACCCACATGGCGGCTAACAACCATTCATAACTCCGGTTCCAGGGGACTTCAACACCCTCTTCTGACCGCGGGTATTGCATGACACGGGTGCACTTACATACATGCAGCAATGCACTCATACACATAAAATTGAAATAATATTAAAAAAGGTTTTAAAATCAAGAACAACAAAAGATGCTGAAAAACTTTCAGCCCGACCGGACCAAGAGAAAAGAGAGATTCCGTTACTGAAATCGGAGAGACGGTGGGACATGACGATAGCTTTTACAGGGCTGAGGACAAAGTCCTGCCAGTCACAGAGCAAGGGAGGCAGGGGCATCTCATGGCACAGCATCGCCGGGAAGCTGCCAGGCTATGGCTCTGTGGACCACGGCACTGCTGTGCTGCCCGGGGTCTACAGCAGGGATGGTCGGGCGCTTGCCTTGAAACTTCAGCTCTGAGAGCAGCTGTGCAGCCGAAGCCTGCACGCTGGAGGCCACCGTGGCTTTCCTCTCAGTCCAGCCTCGCAGCTCCCGTCTGTGGGCCAGCACATGTACCACCGATGCCACCAGGTCCTCTGTGAACTGGAAGATACGGCACCACCGGTAAAACCCCTCCAGCCCCTCTCCACCCTGGGCCTGGCACCACGTCCCTGTGGAGAGGACGGTTTCTCTCTTCACGATGGACTTGCCTACCTTGTGGCTATTCATGTTATTTTTTTGTTTGTGTTTTTTCTGAGACAGCATCTCATGTAGCCCAGGCTGGCTTTGAACTTGCTATGTAGCCAAAGATGACTTGAACTCTTGATCATCCTGCCTCTACCTGCTGAGTGCTGAGATTACAAGTGTGCCCCACCATACCTGGTTTATGTAGACAGAACCCTGGGCTTGGTGTAGTCGATGCAAGCCCTCTACCAACTGAGCTACGTGCATCCCCAGCTGCCTCCCTTTGTTAAATTTTGAGACAGAGTCCCACTAAATTGCTAAGGCCAGCCTTTGATGTTCCTGCTGCAGCCTGCAGAGCAGTGGGGTGACAGGCCCATGCCAGCAGTCTTGATTTCATTCTTCTAATAATACACTTAGCTCAAAAGCCTTAGTTCAAGAGTTCTGAAATCTGGGGGCTGGAGAGATGGCTCAGCAATTAAGAGTGTTCACTGATCTTCTAGAGGACCTGAGTTCAGTTTCCAGCACCCAAGTCAGGCAGCTCACAACCACCTGTAACTCCAGCTCCAGGGGATCCAATGCCCTCTTCTGGCCTCCACAGGCATTGCACATATGTGGTATATTTACCTACATGCAGTCAAAACACTCACATAAAAAAAAATTTTTTTGTTCTTTTTGAGACGGGGTCTCCCTGTAGCCCCAGCTGGCTTGGAACTCACTATGTAGACCAGGCTGGCCTCGATCTCATAGAGCTATACCTGCCACTGCCTCCCGAGTGCTGGGATTAAAGGTGTGTGCCACCATGCCCAGGAGAAAAAACAATTTTTAATAAAACTAAAATAAAGTGTAAAAGAATTGTATGGTCTCAGCTGGATCTCGCCTTCACCACCTCTGTCACTGTTCCAAGTCCCCCCAGGACACCAGGAGGCTATCTTACCTTCTGGACCTCACTGGCTTTCACAGGACCATCTGTAGCAGAAATCATTTTCAGAATCACATGGCTCCTCTCCTCAGAATTCCCTTTCAGCACATAGGACAGCGACACTGTGAGCTGCTCCCGGGAAACACTCTTGCTGCCGCTGAGCGCTTTCTGGGTCAGCTCAACCCTCCGCATGCTGTCATACAGTCTGGTGACCATCTCTGGAGGAAGAGCCTCCCCGACGTGGCTCTGTTGGGGGTAAACAGACGAGCAGGCTGGACAGGGTTCAAAGTCAGCTGCCCAGAATCACTGGAAAATAAGCCAGGGCCGAGACCAACCACTGTTCCCCAAATGCCTCCTGCAGTTACACACCTTCCCATGACCCCACAGTACCATCTCCCCAACTGGAGGGACCACATTCTCAAAGTGTCGAAGCTCAGGCTGGAGGTATAGCTTAATGGTAAAGCACTTACCTGCCACAAACAAGGCCCTGGGTACAAACCCCAGTATCGCAAAATAAAATTAAATAAACAAGTGTCACAGTTCATCCTGGCCATCAGATACCTCCAGTCTGGTCCCCACCCGGCCTCCCACTCTCCAATCTCCCAGGACTGGCCATGTCCTTCCTGTCCCTGCGACCACCTGCTCCACACTCTGTTTAGGACATATCATGCAGAGCAGAATCTGTGCTTGATCCTCCCCCCTTAACCGTGGCCCCCAGCTCATGGCATACACAGCCTGTTCCAACAAGCTCTGCGGAGTCTTCCTGCTCCCGTCTGTCATACCAAAGTCCTGAGGGACAGCAGCCACTTCTTCCTCCTCAAAGAGAGCCCAGCAAGCCTCCCGCCACTCGTCACTGAATACTCATGAGCTCAGTGCCCACCTGCAGGCCTGGCTGGCCATCTACTCCTGCTGCATTCACCGAGCCAAGTTATACTTCAAAGCGACACCCACATGCACTCATGTACACCACACGTGGGGCTCCCACAACTTCCTGACCAGCTGGTTGCCTCGTCTGTAGAGTGAGTGTGATGGGTGTCCCCATACCTCCTCATTGGCCAGCCTTCTGAATGTTCTAGAAGATGAGGCTTCCCAGACTGCACCTATCCCCACCCCCAGAGATAAGCTGGTACTGGCTTGTGTCTGAACATGAGTCATGAGTCCTGAGGAACAGGGCGGGCACCCTGAGATAAGGGTAACTTTCTCTTCTGAAAGGGGAGACTTCAGCAGAGTTAGGAGCTCTGTAAGAGTCCCTCAAGTCGGGGGCAAGTTCTAGAAGCCACAGGGCACCCAAGACACCACGGCCACCAAGATACAGTGGTCACCGAGACGGACACAGGCCCAGCTCTAGAACACCACATGATTTCTGGTGAGAGACACAGAGCTCAGAGGGCAGGAGGTGGCTGGTCCCTCTCTGTGGTGTGACCTCAAGTCAGAAATGTCCTGAACCCCATGCAGTCACAATCTCCAATTTCCTCCCTCCCTCTTTCCCTTCCCGCCCTCTGTCCCTCCCACCTCCTTCCTACTGCTTTCCCTCCTTCCTTTCTTTCCCTTTTAAGTGTGTTTGTTTTTTAAGACAGGGACTCACTATTCAGCCCTGGCCTGAAACTTGCCATGTAGACCAGGCTGGACTTAAACTCACAGAGACCTCCTGCCTCTGCCTCCCAAGGGCCAGGATTCAAGGTGTACACCACCATGCCCGGCCCAAGTTCTTTTTTGTTGAGACAGCGCCAAACTAACAGCAATCCTCTGTCAGCCTCCTGAGTGCTGGGAACAATGTGTGCAACCCTGCCCTTAGCTCCTTTCTTTACTACAGAAGACGCTATATTTTCCCACCTGCAATCTCAGCACTCAGGAGGCAGAGGCAGGTGGATCTCTGTGAGTTCAAGGCCAACCTGGGCTACATAGTGAGACCCTGCCTCAAAAAATAAATTTTAAAAAGGAGAGAGATTTGCCCATCTATGGCCCATAGGAAGCATGGCTATGACAGAAACATGAAGTCCACAAAGCCATGAACAGGACACGTCTGGCCCTTCACGGAAAACCAGCCATCCGGTGCCTGCCAAGCATGCAGACCCCAGTTCCCCGCTTCCAAGTCACTCTTGCCTTTAGAGCCTCCAAAGAGAAGGTCCCGGGGGCGTTGCCTTTACCAGATGTCAGGGCATCAAACAGCCTGTCCACCTCGGCCTGTTCCTCGGGGAGGAAATGAGAGCAGAGCTTCTGCCCCAACAGGCTCTTGCTGTTCCCCATCTTCCCCCGACTCCAGAGCTCTGCAGAAGAAGCAGATAGGAAAGTCACCACGTGAGCACCACAAACACCGGAAAACCCAGTCAGTGAGCATCCATCTCCTTCACTGCAAAATGCAACCAATACTCATTGGGTCTGTATCTCGATGAGACACAGTAGACACTAAGAGTTGACACAAAGGAAGTTGGAAGGCCCCATCCCGACTCCCGGGTCTGTTGAAGCAGCCTGCATTCTTCTATCTCACGATACAGCACCTGGTACAATGGTACAGCGCCAAATCGCGGCATTCAGGAAGCAGGAGCATCGCTGTGAATTCGAGGCCTTCCTGAGCTGCATAGCAAGGACAGGGCAAATATCAACACTCTACTCCCTTTTTATGGCTGGGTAATATTCCGTCGTATAGCTATATCCATCACTAACTGGCAGATGTTTGGGCCACTTCCTATTAAGGACAGAGCTACCGCAAGCTTGTGTGCACATGAGTACCTCTGTTCAGATTTCTGAAGCAGAAACTCGACAGTGTTTTGAAGAGCTGCCGCACTGTTCCCCACTTAATGCTCCCGCCAGCCCAGCACAAGGTCCCACTCTCCCCCTATCCTCTCCAACACTAGTTCTCTACTGCTTTTGGGGGTTGGGGGTGGGGCTCCTCACTGGGGGTCCTGCCCTTGACAGGTTTCTGTGCTACCGGGTCCCTCCAGCAGAGGGTGCCTCAGAGCACAGCACACAAAGGTGGGCTGGAAAGGAGGCTCCCTCAGTTGCAGACTCTCAACCCTAAGGAGCAGCTAGCTGGGTCATGCCAACTGGGTTTTAAACAGCCACTGACTTTCAGGGTGAAAGGAGAGGAGCTGGTCACCGGATGCAACGTTACAGCCATTTAAGAGGAAGACATGGAGACCTGTGCTCAGGAAGGGGACACTGGCTATGCCAGTCACCCAAGCAGTCACCCAGGTTTGGAAGCACATACAGGAAGAGGCTGCTGGGGCTGTGGCTTCTGCAGTTTAGTGAAGCCATCTGACCACTACGATCTGTAGGGACCACCTTGAGTGTCCTGAGGCAGGGCCCAGATAATTACAGTGGAAATAACAGCACCAGGCCTGGAGTTAGAGCTGCAGACCAGGGCATGCGGAAGGCTGTGGAGGGGCTCCGAGCTGTCTTGGGTAATATGGGGAGGGCTTCAAGGGAGGGGACAATTTGGTGACTGGGTGTCTTAGTCTTCACCTAAGAAGTGGGAGGGACACCGAAGGACTACAGCTATAATTAGGAAGGAAACTGGTGGCCATGGTTACGGGGAGAGACGGGCACTGGAGAACATGAGGACTCCCGTGGTGCCCACTCTGTGCAGCCTGGCCTTGCCCTGACCCTGTCTTTCACTATGGTGCAGGACGGTCACCAGCTGGCATGCAAGACGCATCAAGTGCTGAAGGCTGAGTCAGCCCTGATCTCTCCAGGACGTCACCCCGGCAGCCACAGCCTGCTCATGTTAGATTTCTTTTACCAAGGACATTCGAAGTTTTTCTTAAAAGCTGTATGGATTTACCAAGTCACTACAAACCTTGTTATGGATTCTCCCTGAGCCCTATTCCATTAATTCTGAAATCCTACAAATGATAAACTCACCCCTGGTGTATGATATACCCCATCCTGAGGCTGAGCCTGGTGGTGATACCCACAATCCAGGCACTCGGGAGGCCATGGCAGGAGGGCAGTGAACTCCAGGCCAGCCTGGGCTAGATAGTGAGACCTGGTCTCTCTCAACCAATCAAATGTCTGAAAGCTGTGATAGTCATGTGTAGTGGAAGTGGGTGGAAGTGAAGGACTTCCAGAACTATAGGAAAAGGTTTGCAGATGGTGGCCTGCCAGGGTTGGAAGCTCAAGGCCGCCCACTGGTGGTCAACCCCACCCCAGACACACTCCCAAGCATCATGGGGTGGACGTGAGACAGCGGAATCACCTGCACCTCCTCCTCTCCCCTCATCGGCCATGTGATCTCTGCTTTGCAACCCTGCTTAGCAGTCCTGATTTTTCCCGGACCCCCCACCCCCCGCACGTTGCTTAGTTAAGACTGTACAATCTAGCCCTCCTGTCACTGTGGGATGCTGGGTCACTGAGTTAATGGTCACAGACAGCTTCCTTCACTCTCTGCCGACCAGTCACTTCTTCCGAGCACCTCTCTGGTGGGCCCCACCCTTGGGCGAGTCCTGCCTTCTCTTTATCCTGCTTCAGCCTCCATGAGGACCCTGACACCCCACCACTCTTCCCTAACCCATGCCCAACTCCCAGCTCCAAAAAGGTCCCAAAACAGGCTGCTCCACAGCTATGTGCCCTGTGCCTGAGCCTAAGGTGACAGGACGTGTGTGCCCAACAGCTGAGTCTGATCCCTTGCAACCACTAGGGACATGGTTCCCTCTCTGTGATGGCAAATCTTGACTGTCAACCTGAGATTCGGAATCACCTAGGAGACACAGCTCAGGGTGGGTCAGTGAGGGACTGTCTGAATGTGGGAGACACCATCCCATGGGCTACGGCCCAGACTGAATAAAAAGGAAAGTGGGGGCTGGAGAGATGGCTCAGCAGTTAAGAGCATTGGCTGTTCTTGCAGAAGACCCAGGTTCAAATCCCAGCACCCACATGGTGACTAACAAGTGTCTGTAACTCCAGTTCCAGAGGATCCAACACCTTCTGTCCTCCACAAGCACCGTACCACACAGGTGCACTTACAACATGCAGGCAATACACTCGTACACATAAAATAAAAACTTATTTTTTTTCAAAGGAGAAAGTGAGCTGAGCACCAGCACCCATCTCTCTGCTTCCTGACTGTGGATGCAGCGTGAGCAGTGGCCTCACGCTCCTGCCACCGCGCCTTCCCCGCCATGATGGGCTGGACCTTCAAACTGTGAGTGAAACAAACCCTTTCTCCCCTAAGTTGCTTCTGCCAGGTGTTTGGTCACAGCAACAGGAAACGTAGCTCATCCCCTCTTCTACTACCTTGTGGGTTTCCTCCTGCTAATTCCCAGCCAGGTCCCAAGAAGCAGCTCAGGATCCCCAGGGCTTAGGCCCATCCTAGCCCCATACCCAGGAGCCCCCACTGTCAGTACCACCTGCCTTGCTGTGTACAGCTGGCCCCTGCTCAGGGACATCCCTGCATAGCCTGTAGCCCACAGCGCCAAGCAACAGTGGGGACCTAATTTGCCCAAGAAAATAAACACTAAAACACACCAGAGCCACTAAGGACCACTTAGCAGGGCCAGACCATGTGACACCGCCTCTAGCCTTTTATTAGCGGTCATTTCACACCAAACCTCAGGTCTCAAAGCCTGAGAGAGCATCTTCCCACTCAAAGCAGAGGCATCGCTCTGCCACAGGAACACAGGCCACCAATGCACCAGGGCACCTTGGGGTCATGCTCAGTAAGATCAATGTAGCAGTGGACATCATGGGGGGGCAGTCTTATCCCCCAGGGGCACATCCGACAAGGATCAGAGTCATTATGATTATGAAAATGTGTCTAAGGATACTGCTGGCATTCAGAGGGCAGAGTCCTGGGACACTGCTGAATATTTCACAGGGCACAGCATGTCCCCACAACAAAGAAACATCCAGCTATGGTGACTGGGATTTCAGGGTAGGGACTGAACAGGAGGTGCCCAGTGAAGGTCACCCACACAGGGGCCCAAGCTCTGCAATCACAACCTGAGCAAAGGTGGGCAGATCTGTGCTCACACTATAACACCTACTTTTTTATTATTTATTATTTTTATTTTATGTGTATGAGTATGTATAAGTACACCCACGCCATGCAGTGCTCATGGAGGTCAGAAGGTGGTGTTGGATCTCCTGGAACTGGAGTTACAGATGCTTGTTACCTGCCATGTGGGTGCTAGGAATCAAACCCGGGTCCTCTGCAAGAGCAGTCAGTGCTCACAACCTCTGACCCATCTCTCCAGCCACAGTAACACCTGCTTCTTAACAAGGAGTAAGTTACTAAATCATCTCCCACCTTAATACCAGAGGGACAAGATTTACTGCCTAACCAAACCTGTCTCTTAAACCAACCTTTGCACTTCCTGGTAGAATCCAATTTCAGCAACAACCCCATCCTCAATACCCACTCTCTCCACCCCCCCCACCCCCCAGTGACATCCACTCACTCACTCTGGCCTGTCTGCAGCAAGAATTCTGCTAGCCAGAACCCACGGGAACCCGGAGGTCCACCCCAGCCATTTCCATCCACTGACCCCACCCCAGCTCTCAGCTGTCTATTCCTACTTGCCTGTTCTGGATTCTGAAGGGAGGCTGGCCTCAACCACCCACTGTGAAGTCCTATCTGCATGTCACTATGCCACTGCAGGCACAGGTGAACCCTTTAACATTAGGGTAGTAGACTGAATAAAGTAATGAGGGCTTTTGATCCTTTTTCCCTGAAAGCCAAAGACAGAATCGGATGGGCCTGTGATAAAATTCCTTGAGCTTGTTCCAGAACTTGGGAACGCAGCTGCTTGGGAGCTGGGGAGGAGGGGCAGGCTTTCTCTGCAGCCCCAGCTCCTGCTGGCTGGCTAGGGTGCCAGGGGGACACCTCAGAGCTCCTCTGGGGAGGTCCTGTCATCCAACCACCTCTGACTCTGCCTCCAAGGGAACATCACCCTTGCGGGGGGGGGGGGGACCATGCCCACCACAGCCCACTGAACAGCCCAGCTTCAAGTCCCCCTTTATGTCCTGGAGCCCAGCAGAACTTCTGCACAGGAGGCTCTGGGGCTGGGCCAGGAGCTCATGCCCAGATCACGGCAGGGTGTAGGCCCAACGCAGTTTCCTCTCCTCTCCTTTAGCCATGAACTTAGTTGGCAGCTCCTTAAATGAGTCCATCTGGGACACGAGGAAGGGCTCTCTCGGTGCCCCCCCCATCGCTCCTCTCTCTCTCCTCTCTCTCTCATCTCCTCCCTCTCCCCTCTCCTCTCCTCTCTCTCTCATCTCTCTTCCCTCTCTCCTCCCTCTCTCCTCCCCTCTCCTCCCTCTCTTCCCTCTCCTCTCTTCTCCTCTCCTCTCTCCTTTCCTCTCTTCCCCTCTCCTCCCTCTTCCCTCCTCTCTCCTCCCCTCTCCTCTCTGTCCTCCCTCCTCTCTCTTCCCTCTCTCCTGTCTCTCCCCTCCCTCCCCATCTCACACCTGTTCACTGCTCCCTTCCACAGTCACATGCACACACCTGTTCGGTGCACACCCAGCTGCTCCCGTCCATGGTGGCTCTTACCCGAGGAGGCAGGTCCCGACCTTGCCCACCGTGGCCACCCCGTGAGCCTCCCTCTCTCCCTCCCTCCGAGCTGCCCCCTACCCCCGGGCTCCCCAGGCCGGAGATGCAGACCCAGGCCCCGGGGATCTGCACCCCCGGCCCAGGCTGACCTCCCACCCAGCTCACCCGGGCCCTGAGCCGGAGGGACCAGGCTGCTTCCGGCCGGAGTCCGCAGGTTCGGGATCTCCCGAGCCGCCCCAGCAGGGCCCGTTCCCCAGCAACGGCGCTGATGGGCGGTCCTGAGGTCCAATGGGGAAGCGGAATGTGGAGGCGTAGCCAGGGGCTAGCCAATGGGGATGTGGCTCAGAGCAGGCGGGTGGTGGACTGGGCCTGCGTGACCGTGAACCTACTGGAGCCCCACCCGGAGGGAAAACAGTAGCTAGTGATCCGGGAGTCAGGGCCTAGGGCCTGGGGCCTGCAGAGGAGAGCTGGAGA